GTCTATAGTTTGAACGAAAAAAATTGCACTGTCATTGAGGTGACAGATGTTATGCAGACTACTTGTTGGGATACAGAGATGCAAGGTTAGGTCGTTTCCCCAATCCGAGCACCATCTGCATGGTAATATATGTCAGTCTGGCTTCCTGGCTTCCAGGCGGCAGGTATTAGGATACAGTTACCCCCAGTGGGCGAGGCCGGAGCGGCGTGGTGCGGGGGTGTGGGCGGCATCTGAGGGAGGACTGGTCTCTGTCGGAACCGCCATGTTTCCACCCAGCCTCCCCGGTGCCAGGGCCCTGCGCGCCGGCTGGTCTTCCCTGGTCGTCGTGCCCACGGGTCTCCCTGGTCCGCTGAGGGAGCCCAGACCCAGCACCAAGGGCTTCCGACCCAGGCAGCCATCCACTCCCGACTCACGGGCCGCTCTTCCTGCTGCCAGTTCACAATGGAATCTGCGCCCTCACCAAGGATCTGCTACACTCACTGCCCCAGTCCTGTTTCCAGGCTCCTCCCTTCCCCACTCCCAGAGGCCAGCATGGATGCCAGGGGCATAAAACTGCACACTTGGAAGGCTGGGTGGGGCTGGTGCCAGGAGACAATGACTCCCAATGCAGCCACAGGGTGGAACCCAATTGGGTCTGGATCTTGCCAAGACCCATACATCAGCCTGGACACTGGTACCTCAGCCCTGCCTGGGGCTGCCAGCCTCCCCAGCACCCACAGTTCCTCCAAGAGACCTGCTGTGCCCACCCTCCTCCTTAGGCCCCTCCCAGCTCCTCAGTCTTTCGCCATCACATGGCCCAGGCTCTACCAGTTGCCAAGCCCCTCAGCAGCCTCTGCCTGAGGCACAGGGGTGCACAGCTACCTGGACTGTCTGGGTCTCCTTGGCCATCTGACCACCATGGCCGCTGCTCCAAGGGCACCAGAGAAGAAAAGAGCCGTTCTTGCTGATGTTTAGGAGGCCGGGCCTTCTTGTGATATTTAAAATTTTAAATTTCCAGTTTTGGGAGGTCATCAGTGATGAGCATGGGATCGACCCCACTGGCAGTTACCATGGAGACAGCGAGTTGCAGCTGGAGAGAATCAATGTGTATTACAACGAAGCTGCTGGTGATTATTTGAATGTTTTTTGCTTTTCTTTCAACCTTGCTTTCCATACTGGGGCACATGCAATGTAGTGGGAACATACAAATAACTGGCAGAGGAATGCTTCTTGCATTCATTTAAAATGTCAGCTGCTAACACATGCACTACCTACCGTTCCTGAAGCCTCCTGCATGCTTGCCATGGCCACGCTTACTCATTAGCTCCTAATGAAGCAGCAGCGCTCCCCTGTTCTTGTCCTTTTGTGTCACACGCTGGAATGAGCTCTAGTGAACTCTGCTGTAAGAGGCGCAGAGAGCACCACCTTGTCTGATTCCTTTGCCATCACAGATCTAAGTCCAGCTCTTCCCCCCACAGGTAACAAGTACGTGCCTCGGGCCATCCTGGTGGACCTGGAGCCGGGCACGATGGACTCAGTCAGGTCTGGACCATTCGGCCAGATCTTCAGGCCGGACAACTTCGTGTTTGGTATGTTGTCATGATCAATGGGAACTGGCTCAGTGAGTGTTCTTCCTAAACACTGTGGAGTTCAGAGTGTTTTGTGTTGAGTGCCAAGGTGGACACTGTGTGTCCACAGACAGCCCTGAGTCGTGGCCTCATTCCACCCAGTTCCTGGACCGGGACTGTCCAGACAGCTCCAAGAGCACTGTCAGCCTGCAGGGGCTGGTAGGTAGTCCTCGAACCACAGAGCAGCCTGTGAAGGGTAAGGGATGAAGGGTGATGAACAAGTTCCAGTGGGAGTTACTAGGCAAGCTCAGAGGGCCCATCACAGTAGGTGGCCACTCCAAGAAGCAAAGGCATAGGAGCCTGTGTTCTCCTCTGATCTCATGTGCCTTCACTCTTGCCTAATGGGGTCTAATATAAGAGTTGTTTTTATATTTTGGGGGGTGGGGAGAGTAAGGGAGCATTTATTAGGTAACTTACAAAGGTATTAAAAGTAATTTCCAGAAGGAATTGGCTTAGAAAACAAGTTATTCAGGTAAAGGAAGAGCCCTTAGAGCTTGGAAGTGAGGACTCTGATGGTAAAGTGCCTGGAGGCGGGAGGGGGAAGGAAAGGGAAAGAAAGGGCAGGATGCACACCCTTGAGGGAATGCACACTGGGTCCTCCATCCTAAGGGTTTTAAGGGTAAGGATTTTAGGAGAAGTCCCAAGGGAAGATCTCAATAGAATATTCAGCAGCTTCCCAGGTGTGTCCTTTTAGGGTTGTGGTTTCCACTGATTTGACTGGTGGGCCCAGGCAGGGGGGCAGGTCCTGAAGTCAGCTGTGGCTGGATTGATTGCTTATCCTGGTCCTGGAGTTTAAATATATCTAAGGCCTAGATGATATCTGCAGGGAGGAAAAACCAGGGTTCCCAAACCCCCTGAGCATAGATATGCTAGAGAAAAAGTCACCCTGGGGGCCATATCCCACCCCACAATTGATTGTCCATTGTTGGGTATCCAGGGCTCTAAGTATTTTGTTTTTGAATATATTTTTATTGATTTAAGAGAGGGAGAGAGAGAGAAAAATATATAAATAATGAGAAAAAATAATTGATTGGCTGCCTCTTAACACACCCCCACACTGGGGATTGAGCCCTAAATCGGCATGTGCCCTGACCCGGAATTGAATCATGGCCTTCTATCTCATAGGTTGATACTCAACCACGGAACCACGTTAGTCTAGCTAAGCTTTTTTTATTTATTTTTTTATCCTCATCTGAGGATAATGTTTTTATTGATTTGATAGAAAAACATCGATGTGAGAAACACCAACCCATTGCTTCCCATATGTGCCCCCAACAAGGGATTGAACCCAAAATCTAGGTGTGTGCCCTGACAGGATGCAAGGGACAAAGTTCCAACCAAGTGAGCCAACTGGCCAGTGCCTTATGTTATGTTGTCATTCTTAGGTTCTCTGTCCTTTAGAAATAGTTTTTTTCAACTAATAACCTCGTTTGAATTAACCTCATTTATTATGACCTCCAGTGTTTTTCAAGGTCACTGGTATAGAGAAATTTTCAATAGGTATAAAAAGGCACCTAGTGCAGAGTCAAAATGGCAGAACTCCAAGTTCTTTATGGTTCCCTAATAGTCTTTATCTCTGGCAGGCCAGAGCGGGGCCGGCAACAACTGGGCCAAGGGCCACTACACGGAGGGCGCGGAGCTGGTGGACTCGGTCCTGGACGTGGTGAGGAAGGAGTCAGAGAGCTGTGACTGTCTGCAGGGCTTCCAGCTGACGCACTCGCTGGGGGGCGGCACGGGGTCGGGGATGGGCACGCTGCTCATCAGCAAGATCCGGGAGGAGTACCCGGACCGCATCATGAACACCTTCAGCGTGATGCCCTCGCCCAAGGTGTCGGACACGGTGGTGGAGCCCTACAACGCCACGCTGTCCGTGCACCAGCTGGTGGAGAACACGGACGAGACCTACTGCATCGACAACGAGGCCCTGTACGACATCTGCTTCCGCACCCTGAAGCTGACCACGCCCACCTACGGCGACCTCAACCACCTGGTGTCCGCCACCATGAGCGGGGTCACCACCTGCCTGCGCTTCCCGGGCCAGCTGAACGCCGACCTGCGCAAGCTGGCGGTGAACATGGTGCCCTTCCCGCGCCTGCACTTCTTCATGCCCGGCTTCGCGCCGCTCACCAGCCGCGGCAGCCAGCAGTACCGCGCGCTCACGGTGCCCGAGCTCACGCAGCAGATGTTCGACTCCAAGAACATGATGGCCGCGTGCGACCCGCGCCACGGCCGCTACCTGACGGTGGCCGCCATCTTCCGCGGCCGCATGTCCATGAAGGAGGTGGACGAGCAGATGCTCAACGTGCAGAACAAGAACAGCAGCTACTTCGTGGAGTGGATCCCCAACAACGTGAAGACGGCCGTGTGCGACATCCCGCCGCGGGGCCTCAAGATGTCGGCCACCTTCATCGGCAACAGCACGGCCATCCAGGAGCTGTTCAAGCGCATCTCGGAGCAGTTCACGGCCATGTTCCGGCGCAAGGCCTTCCTGCACTGGTACACGGGCGAGGGCATGGACGAGATGGAGTTCACCGAGGCCGAGAGCAACATGAACGACCTGGTGTCCGAGTACCAGCAGTACCAGGACGCCACTGCCGATGAGCAGGGCGAGTTCGAGGAGGAGGAAGTGGAGGAAGAGGCTTAAGAACTTGTCAAAGATACCGTGCGCCTCAGTGAATGTCTGTTGTCCTCAACGAAGCATGGTCTATTTGTATCTATGGTGCTCAGTTTTGCCTCTGTCAGAAATTCACACTGTTGATATAATAATGTGGAACTCCTCTAAAAATTAAGATATATACTACACTAATTAAAACGCATGTGTCCAAAATCTTGTGGCTTCTTTATTTTTATTCTTTTCACTACATTCTTCTTGACTGTTTTGGGCTTTAGCAATTTTAACAAAACAGAATTTGTATTTAATGTGTTAAGTAATAGTTCTTTTAATAAAGAGATAAAAAGAAATATTTTTCCATCTTCACTGGTTCAAATTATTAAAGTAAAGGAATCCAGCAAAGGTAAGGGAGTGAATGGGGAATTTGAGGGGAGACTTTCTTTCCTTTGTTGGAGTTAGAGCAACCCTGTGAAATGTAGAATCTGGGACTTTAGGCAAGGACTTTTCTTCTATGTACTTCCTTTTCACAAAGTGATAATACAACTAAAAAGACTAGTGAACCCTCGTACCTCTCAGATAAAAAGTATAGCCCGAGTTCAAAATAGCCGTCAGGAGCACTACAAACGCTCATCTAAGATTTATTGGCAAATAAAGTAAATCATGACAGGAATTTATTTTGTCAATGTCAGAAATTCACAACTTAATGTTGAGAAGTAGTGGAGGGAGGAGTTGGAACCGGAGGGCAGGTGCAGGGAGATGTGCCGTGGGGTGGGTGCACACTTTCACTGTAAGAAGTCTTCTACTAACTTGTTGAATTCATTTGCAAAACGTAAATGGAGGTTGTGTTTGCCTTCTGGCATCAGATGCAACCTAAAGATAAAAAGCCTATGTTTAATGGGACAGCATTTAAACCCTCTTACCCGCCCCAACATTACCAGAAAATCTATACTAAAACCTGCCACATTTTTTCCTGACTACTACTGGGAAGAAGATGTAAGGTACACAGTACAAGCTTTCCTGAATGCAGACTTAGAGTGAAAGCCTCCTGGAGTGTAAGTCTGCCCCTGAGGCTGACTCTCAGGAACAGAGCGCACACGCTGTAGTTAGAATTGTATTCCGTAACAGATGGTTTAACTGAACCTGACTGAGAGGAGTATAGACTTTGGTTCATTAAAAAAACAAAAACAAGAAAACAATTTTACTAGTAATATGGTTGATTTTAACAAGATTAGAAAGATGATAAAATATAGTGTCCAGAATTTGCTGGATAGGAACAGGTGAGCTGCTTGGGACATCTATATAGTGGGAAAACTCGTCAATTCGGCCACCACCAGAGTCGTTCGAGGTTCCACTTCGCCTGGCCATTTCTGGAGAACTGAGGAACCCTAAACACAAGCCACTGGACAGAGGACGAGGAGTGCTCCTTAAGGCGTGAGGGCGGTGGCAGCCTGCATGGAACCATGTTCTGCATTTGTCACTACCTGTCTTTTGTGACAAAGCTCCCAGTCCTAGTGTGACTCCTCCCTTTCAATAGGGCTGTGGTCAAATGTGGCTGGCTGGCAATTTCTTTAATAAAGGAAGCCTTCTCTGAGTTCTACATTTTATTTATTGGCTATAAAAGCACAGAAATAAAAGTTTTAAACAAATAAAAGCTTCTAGAATATAAGCACACAATTGAGTTTTGCCCACAATGACAGTTGGGCATTAATAGTACATTAATAATAATAATACAGGGACAAAACACCAGTTCATGAATTACCTAAATCTCTGGTCTGTCAGCACTTGGGGTCTGAGAGCTCCCGGGACCTCAGTGAACACTGGGAGAACTTGTGAAGGGGTCCTGTGGAGCAGCTGCCCTTGCAGCTCAACCACATGGGGGGGGGGGGGTACCGAGATGATTAAGGCCATTTACCAGAAAGGAGGAAGGATACATTGTTGGCATCTTTCTGAAGCTCTTAGGAAAGTTAAGACCATTCACAGTAAATAGAACATTCCAAATTCAGTTTTAATGCTGTTCAGTAAAGAAGGGCAAACTACACTAACCCCAAAGATAGTATCTCAGTTGCCCCATACAAGGGCTTGTAGGGATGCTCAAGACCTGTTTTTAGGAGACAGAAGGAACCAGCTGCTAAGAATGCTAAAAGGTCATGAAGGACATGTCTAGGCTAAATTGCATCCTCTAATGTGTGTTGAGTTGGATTCAGAAGCAGAGACCCCAATCTTCCCAACTTGCAAGTCCTCCTTTGTGGATAGCCATGCTGATTATCATGTGTTCTTCCCCATTTCTGTGATTCATTCACTCCTAATGAGGGAGGAGACTAGCAGTGAATCCCTTCTCTTTCACCTCACTGCTGTGTGCATTCTTCCTATAATAATCTCTAGGTCTAGGGGAAATAAAAACAAGTCTACATTAAGATTATGAGAGATCTGTTCTGAGGCATCCACATTCAGAGCTGCACTGAATTATGGATGGATGGATGGACAGGTGAGGCTGTAAAGAAAATTGTTCTTTTCCTTGAGACCTTTAGGGGGTCATTTCAAGTTCTTTAATATGCTTTCTGGAGGTCTGACACAAAGTCCCGGGACCTGAGGCTCCTCTTTGGGAACAGCACCATGCCGGGCAGAAGCCAGAGGTGTTCAGGCAACGTAGCAACTCCACTGCAGGCACAGGTTCTCACCCAAATAACAAAAGGATCCAATTACATGCTCCATGGAGCGTGTTTCAAACGACCACATCCCTCAGGAAAATCAGGAGGAAATACCCACCACCTAACACATGGTTCAGCTGGGGTTGAAGGATCTCTGAGACAGTACCCAGGAATTCCTATTTCCTGGGACAAGTTCCTCATTGCATTTGGCACTTTTAGAAAAAGATGTGATTCCAGATCTTTTGAGAAATTAAAATGTCTAACCTCATAGTATAAACCCAGTGGTCAGTTTACTTCTGCCTGATACAGTCCTTCTAGGATCTCACTCTTCATAGCCAGGTAGCAAAGGAGAAATGATGCTGCCATCTACCATCCTTTCCTCAGCCCAACCTTCTACAGCTTTCAAATTAAGCTCTGAGAGCTACAGATAGGAACAAGACTGTAAATAATGTGCTGTAGTATTTTTTTCCATGATGTAATAAAATTCTAAATTATTTATGAACCCATAGAGTTTCCAGCAAGTCTGTATTTTTGTTTTCATGGAAAATCAAAGTAGGCTTCTGCCCAACTGTCTTTGAACTGGGCTATTGGCTGTTCACACCTTCAGAGTCAGACTGAAGCATCAGCTCTTCCGCTTCTCAGGCCTTCAGAGTCAGGCTGGAACCATGCCTTTTCTCTCCGAGGCCTCACCTTCCTCACTCACTCCAGCTTGCTGACAGATGATCTTGGGCTTCTTGGCCTCTCCACTGTGTGAGCCAACTCACACACCCACACACCTAGACTAATAATGGTGCTGAACATGGGACAGAGGGCAACCTGCCTCTCACCTGCGATGGAGCTATTTCCTGGTGTCTCCGGGAGCCCCTGAACACCTGCACCTACACCAGCCTCCCACCCACAAGAGTGATAGCTACTCTGCGTTGTAAAATATTCACTCATTCCTCAAAAACTATTTTGAATGATATCATCCTTGATTTACTCACAAGGAAACAGGAACATAAATCAATGTACACTGCCTAAGTAAGTGACTGAGCCAGCACTCCTTCCCTCCCTTAGTTCCTGCTCCTCACCAGCACTGCTATGAGTGTTTCTCTGGATCCCAAATACCCAGTCTGCTCTCCTGGCAGGACTCCATTCCTCACTGCTCCCCTTTGGCCGACACTGGCCCCAGGCGCCACTCGGCACACGTGAATGTTCCTCCTCATTCTTTCCCGTCTGCTCTGGCCTCAGCCCAGAACACGAAGTTGGACTCCGTACCATGCTTTTTGGCCCTGAGTCACCAGTTGGTGATCAATGGCCATCCACAGAAGCTTGGCCCTATGTGCCTCTGCTGCTCTCACATTCCCTTTCTTTCAAAATGTACTAGATTGCATCCTCGGATAGGTATTGACATGCTCAACAGGTGGAAAACGAAATTCACATGTTCACCACTGTATAAAGGTATGAATAAGAAGCTGAGTGGCCTCAGGCAGATGAGTAATTGGAGATGTGGAGGAGGAAGAGGAGAAGACTGAAGGATGAGTACACTTGGCCAGGCAGAGAAGTGGTGAGAGCTAGAGCAGGACCAGGCAAAGTACTGGTCACTTGCAACTGGGTCTCAAACCCAGGTCTCAGTCCTGACCTCTGCTGGCCTCCAATTCCCAAGATCCAAGCATCTCCTCAGAAACAGATAATTATGGACTGAATTGCATCCTCCCAAACTTGTATGTTGAAGTCCTTACCCCCTCCACTGTGTAACCTTATTTGGATATATGTATTTACAGAGATAATTAAGTTAAAATGAGGTCATTAGGGTCCACACTAATAGGACTTATAAGTAAAGGAGATCAGACACAGACAGGCAGAGGGAAGATCATGTGAGGACACAGGGAGAAGATGGCCGTCTACAAGTCATGGAGAGAGGCCTCGAAACCAACCCTACTGACATTTTAATCTCAGACTTCCAGCCTCCAGAACTGTGAGGAAATAAACTTCTAGTATCTAAGCCTCCCACCCAGGCTCTGACATTTGTTGTAGCAGCCCCGGCAGACTAATACACATAATGAGCAGACACACAGTTCAACAAGCTTCCTAGGGCCTATCACCCCAACTCCAAAAAGTCTGATGCCAGCCTCTCCTCAATGCAAATTCTTTGAAAACGAGCTGGGGCTGGCCTCATGGGTGATGCCTGTCTGGAAACAGGAGACGCCCAAAGCAGAGGCTGACTAGCTAGACAGGTGGTGAGTGGTGTCAGTGCTTTCCTGTCTCGGAGGGAGGGCCAGACAAGAAGGGATACACAGGGACTGGGGCAGGACAGGGGACCAAAGGGGCAGGTCTGCTCCCCACCACTATTGTGATCAGACCAGCTCCTATTTTATGTTTATATCTTGGACTCATGCATAAGATTTGTTGGGAGAAAGGGTTCAACTGCCTAAAAACAAATTTTAAAACTGGCGAACCTGAATGATCTCTAAAGCCTCGTTGCTTCCAGGAGATTCTATCACTGTTCTCCCACAAAGAGAGCAAAGAGAGAGGCATTAACCTGAGCAAGACGCAGGCCTGCTGAACAACCCCACCCTTCATTAACCTCTTTCTGAGGAGAGAAAGGCATTGGTTTCATATCTGATATTTATTTGTTGGTAACATCTTTGAAGGGACAGACTGTACCTTTAAGTTGAGTTATAAAGTATCTGACAAGATAATAAAATACCGAGTTCCCTGGAGTTTGCTACACTCTGAGTTGCTACACCTGTTGTCAAGTGGCCCGGTGTTCAGAACTACAGTATGACTTTGGTGCTCAAAGAATCCACCTTCCTTTGATGGGGTTCAAAATAAACCACATCCATCCTAGGAAAATTCATGTCCAACATCAAGGGCTGTTTCGGCAGAGGAAGGGAGTAGGTGTAAACTGCAAGCTAGCTTTAGATAATCACCGCTAATAACACTTTACCTTCAATGGATTTGTTCCAAAGAATGTTGCTCTAAGAAAAGTGATCTTCCATAAAATAGTCTGCTGAAACAATTAACACCTGAACAGTAAGTGGGTATGTTTCTCTCATACTGATGTATCCTGTTAGGACACGGGTCTGGAATAGAATCCCTACATCGAACTTCCTTGCAGACTGACCTTACTGAAGCTGCTGTCCCAGGGAACACATGCATTTACTGTGAGAGTCAGAGTCCAAAACCCTGTCATTTCCGAAGGTAGAAAACAATTAACCAGAGCAGCAAGTATATAATCCAGCCATCTTGCCATCATATTAAAATAAGAGTATGTTTATGAGAGGCACCTGTGCTGTGGGGGAAAACCACTATATTAGGAGAAAAGCCACCTAGAATTTGTCTTTAATTGGCTATGCAACCATGGACAATTACTTAGCATCTCAGACTTGATATTCTTATGTGTAAAATGGGGATGATATTTCTTTTCCATAAGTTAATTATAAAGTATAATTAGATTTTTGTATATAAAATGCATTTTAAAATATAAAATGCTATATAACTATAGACATTATACAGGCTTATGGTAATTACTTATTGTAGCATAAGAAGCATGCCCTCACATTTAAAAGTTCTCTTGGGAACTGCTTTCAAGGCAGAAGCAGGATGAGACTTTTCACCTAAAATTAATCTGATAGATATGAGATGATAGAAATAGCAGTGGGAAATGTTAGAGGCAAAAATAGAATATTGGGGAATAGCTATGATTATGGAAAATATTAATCATGCTCTGTTAACCATGATTGTCTTGTGTTGGTTAAAGAAAGGATATTCTGACCTGGCTGGACTTTGAATGCCCCTAGGACCTGGGAGTCAACCTTGGAACCATTCTCATTCAAGAACCAACCAAAGGACTTGTATGCATGCATACAAGTCTAACCAATGGACACAGATAACAGGGGGGTGGAGGGTGGGGCAATGGGGCCATAAGGACACTTATGTAATATCTTAATCAATAAAGAAAAAAAAAAAGAATTGCTTATTATCATGGAAAGATTAACAACCTTTTTTTGCCCAAACAATGGAGTCCCACCCCAGCCTCCTACTTCCCTTTGCCTGTAACCCCTACTTCCCCATGTAATCCCCGTCTGACCCTATATAAGCAGCTGGCTTATGGGGGGCTGCAGAGCAGATTTTTGACCTGCTGCTCTCCCATACTGCTGACAGTATTGAAATAAACACTCATATGTGATTCAAAAAAAGCCCCCACAAAAACAAAAACAAAAAAAGTTCTCTGAGAAATCTGTTTGTTAAAATATAGCATGGAATAGTGTGATCAGGAAGCAGTGGAATGGTTTCCGAGACACTTTCCCTCCTGAACTGTGGGGGCTCCCAGGGCAGTGCTGGCCCACAGGAGGCATCAGAAGTTGGCTCATGTAGGGAAAGGAGGGCGGGAGAGAGAATGAGAGGAAGGAACAAAGGAGGGAGGGAGAAAAGGATGAAAGGAGAGAGCGAATGAGCAAGGAAGGATTTTTTTAAGGCTATTAATAAAAGCCAGTTTCAAAAAATTCCAGAGTCCCAAAGGTGCCCTGAGTAATGACAGTGCCATTGAAATTTACATATAGTCTGTGAAGTGGTGGAGGCTCATTGGATGTTTATTTTCCAGTATGTTTGCTTTAAAAAAGAAAATTAGGTAACTATCTTGTAGTCACACCTCATTTTCTCCTTCAGGACATGCATCCATTGCATATAAGGGAAATACTGAATTTATTCCACTTTGAACTTTCATCTTGACAGAGTGGGCTTAGATTTTGGCTGGCAAAAGCTGGCTCCTGTGCCAGCCAATGTATTTAAAATATAACTTTACATCTTTTTTTCAAATTCAATATTTTTCTTTAATTTAATTTTTCCATCACCATTTATCCCCTCTATGGCCTCACCTACCCCCTTCTCCTCCCCAACCCACCAAGTCCCATAATCATCATGTCATCATGTCCATAAGTTCGTTCTCTCTCTCTCTCTCTCTCTCTCTCTCTCTCTCTCTCTCTCTTTTTTTTCCTCAATCCTTTCTCCTCACCTATTCTCTGCCAGAGCTATATGCCTACTCTTTATTTATCTATCTCTATTTTGCTTGGTAATTCAGTTTGTTCATTAAATTCCACATATAAGTGAAACCATATGATACTTGTCTTTCTCTGACTGGCTTATTTCAGTTAGCATAACAGTGCCCAGGTAAAAAATAATAATAAAATAAAATAAAATAAAATATAAATTTCTATTCATTCTATACAAAAATGTAGGGACCTGAAGAACATAATTTTTGCTGATATAGCTTACAACGTTCCTGAAGCCCAAAGCCAGTTGGCAGAAACCAGAATGCAAAGGACAAGCAACATTTATCTGCTGTCTAACCAAGCACACCACCAGCATGGTTGGGCATATGTTGGTATTTATAATTCTGAATAACAGGTTTTTGTCTGGTATGTACATATTTAAGGCTGAAATAACATGAAAAATTTACAACATAATTTTAACTGGGGAAAAAAAAAGCAGCATCAGAGTTGAATATAGAATATGATTATTTCTATGTGAAAAAAAGGAGAAACAAAAATGCTAATGTGAAATAATTGAGTGGCAAGCAAAAGGAGATTTATTTCCTTCTGATTTTACTGATTTTCTTTATTGGGTAATGATAATGATAAGCTAGCCTGAAAATTCCCAAATTGCATAAAATTGCTTTAGTTCACTATTGCTCTAAACCTAAACTATCACCAGTGATACAGAACTTGGTATGCATCAGCACAGTTGCCTTCATAATAAGACTTTTTCCTGAGATTCCCTTCCTGGTGAGTACTGGTTGCCCACAAACCAGGACTCTACTCCTGCTCCCGTTTCCCGGGTGCCTGTAGACAGTGGTACTGTTTATGGACATTGGTAAGACGGGGGTGGGGAGCCTTCCGTCTCTTCCTTACTGCAGCTCTGCCTTTTCCTCCGAAGCCCGAGGCACCGGATGCTGACGAGGAGATTGGACTTACCGTGACCCTCTCACATGCTGGTGGATGAAGTCCGCATGAAAACGCGGGACTAGAGGGTCCTTCTCTCCATGCACGATTAAGGTGGGGCACTGAACCAGGGGCAGCAAGTGCCGACAGATATTACCTGAAACACAAATGCACGAGAGTCGGCTTTAGTGCGACCACTCCACAAGCGTAAACGAAGCGAGAGCTGGGCAAGTCACGCCTCTCTTAGGACCCAGGGTCCCGCCGGTAAATCAGTGGTTTAAATTCGAAGTGGTCTGAGGTGCCTTCCAGCTCTAATGTTCTTTGAGTTTCCTTTTCTGTTTCTCTGCTGGGTGGTTTTTTGTTTTGTTTTTGGCTCTAGGAGTAAACAGTTTTGCTTAGTTTAAATGCATCATCCATGTAAAACATTAAGAAAAACAAACAAACAAACAAACAAACACCAACTCTTTCTATTGCATAGAGACAGTTCCCAGTTTGCAAAGCTGTGGTAGGTGCTTGGCATCTGAAAAGCATCTGCTGTGCAACAATGGCTTAGGTGGCCCTTGGGGGTCCCAGTCAGCCCTCAAGGCCTATATACTTCACAGTGAACTTACAATTTACACAGCTTCTCTCATCCCTCTCTTCTTGGGCATTCTGACTGACAGACTTTTGAGAGATGATAACTCCTCACTCCCACTTTTAACAACATTTCTGAGGCAAATAGGGCACAGCCTGGGCTCCTGCCCCTGTCCATCCGCACCTTCCCCCCTCCCCAATGCAGTCTCAGTGGCTCTTCAGCCACTTTGAGCTTCAGCCTTCTCCTCTGATCAGACAGGGATTAACCCCAGTTCCCTGGTGGCCAAGGAGCCAGGAAGAGAAGCCAGAGCTCAGGTTTCTGGCACCAGCAGTTGTTCCACAAAGCCAGCACCTCCCTCTTTCCTTCCTCTGCATGTGCCAAGCAGAAAGCTCTGTGGCTCCCAGAAGCTAGGGGCCAGCCTGGGGTACCGTCTGGACACCTGCCTCTCCCCTCCTCTCAGTCAGGGTGGACCACAAAATACTTTCTAGGTCACTGACACTTCCTTGCCTATCCTTGGGATGACACACACCTGCTAACTGTATATTCAGATAATTAAAGTGCTATTACTGAGTGCTCATTATCTGTTAGGAACTGTTCAAATTATTTAATACCCACAAAACACATGGTAGTTACCTTTTAACTCATTTAGTATGTATGATTATAAATCAAGTACTTGTACTAAGCACTTCCTCTGTACTTGGGAGTGACCAAAGCTGAACATACAAAACTCATTCAGTCCTCACAACAACTGCGGGAGGTACTCACTGGTGTCTCCCATTCTCAGACAGGAAGCTGCAGCTTAGAGAAGCAAAGTGATCTGCCGGCATCCATTCTAACATCAAGCCAAGCGGCAAAACCAGAATTCACACTCGGGCCTGTCTAACTCCAAATCTGTGCCATTAATCCCTATGCTAGTCTGAGCATCCATAAACTTGAGTTTACAACCATAAAGAAGGGCTCTTGCCAAATTAGTACAGAAGGGGGATGGGTAGTTTATTAACAATCTTGCCATAAGATGATTGATAACACTGCTAGATCCTCCATATAATGACATTTTTTTACTCCCTTTTTCTTTTTTAACAATAGACTTTACTTTTTAGGGTTTTAGGTTTACAGAAAAACTGAGGGGAAGGGACAGAGATTTCCCCACAACACCCCTGCCTTCACACATGGCCTCCCCCATACCAACATCCCTGAGTGATACTTTTTAAGTGAATGAGCCTCCACTGACATACCATTTTCACCCAAAGTCCACAGTTCTCCTTAGGGCTCACACTTGGTGTTGGACAAACTATGGTGTGGATAAATGTATAAGGACATGTCCAGTACAGTAGCACACAGAGCATGTGCACTGTCCCAGAATCCCTCTGGTGGCTGTTCTAATAAGTTAATAGGGGACCACATTGTTGTTTGGTCCAGTTTTTAATTAGATTGTTTTCTTATTGTTCACTTTTAAGAGTTCTTTGTAGATTTTGGGTAGTTCTTTTGCACATGGGTCTTTCGCACATATTTCCTCCCAGTCTGTGGCCTGTCCTTTCATTTTCTGACAGTACCTTTTGCTGAGTATCAGTTCTTAATTTTAACATATACAGCACATATGTTTGAACTGCTCATTTAATTCTGCTTCTATCTTTGAGAAATCCTACCTGCTCACTACTCTCTTCAAGAAAGCATAGAAGTCTGCATGTCACAAAGTCGCCTTCCGTAGTGGAGAACTGTCTCAGACATTGTTGTACAGCCTTTGTTTGTTTGCTGTCAGAGCTGGGGAAATAGATTTCAAGGACCTGCTTCTGTGAGTGGATTCTGCTTTCAACAGGAGATACTGTTTTGAACTCAAGCCAAGAAAGTTACACTTTCAAATGTACTTTTCATTGTGAAAGTTTTGACAGATGACTCATTCTGGAAATTATTACTTAAGAGATCAAATTGGCCCTTCATCACAATGATTTTGTACTGAATGTTCTCCAAGATTAGATCTTAGCTATTCTCTATTTTTTCAGCAATTAAAAAAACAACAACACGAGATTAATAATGTAAATATCTATGCAAAACACTTTAATTAAGAATGTCTTCTTACTGTAATTGGAAATCATTAATTTTCAGATAAAGACAGGAAGACATTGATTAGGGCTAAAGTCGTGTAACTTAGTTCTGAAGATGGGAGAAGACATGAATACTCTTCCTCATGCTAATTCTGTAGAGGCTGAAGGTCAGGCCAGAAAGTCCCTCCTTCTTTGTCCTGGGGTAGCTCATCTAAATGGGCAGCCAAAACTGATTTGGCTCAGAGGATAGAGCCTGTGGACTGAAAGGTCCCAGGTTCGATCCCGGTGAAGGGCATGTACCTTGGTTGCGGGCACATCCACAGTAGGGGTGTGCAAGAGGCAGCTGATTGATGTTTCCCTCTCATCAATGTTTCTAACTCTATATCTCTCTTCCTTTCTCTCTGTAAAAAAAATTAATAAAATATATTTAAAAAAATAAATGGGCAAAGAGAAAAAACGTGGCATATGCTGCAGCTTGTTTGTTTTCTAATTCCTTATTCAGAAGTTAGAAAATAAAGACTCTTAGAGGCTTCTGGATAATTATTTTAAGGAAGAAAGAACAGTCTGCTATTAAAGACTTTTATACTAGACACTCTGTCTAGTTGAAGTGGATTTAATACCCAGTTCATGTACACAGTCACTAGTACCCTCTGTTCCTATGTCAGTGTGTGAGTGTCATGGGCGAATGCATTCATCCTTGAGGGATTCTGGAACATCAGGGAGGAACTCGGGCCAACTCTATAATCAGCAAAGAAACCATTAAATAGTTCATGTAACCTACCATCCGGAAGATGTTTAAACTGTTTTATGCCATCCACCCACTTTTCACAGGTTTTTGCCAAGTAGTCATACCCATATAGGGTTTCTAGAGGCTTTTTTGTTTTCTCACTCCATTTAGAAACATCTCGGATACCTGAAAAATAGTAGTGTGAACAAGGATAGGTTTAGTGTCATACTAAAGTTTATCTGTAAATATTCCAAGCACAGTCCAGCTCAAAGCCACTGTCCGCTCTCTGTTGCCAATATCGCTTCCCCAGGTTCCTGGATGGCTCACTCCTCACTCCATCCGGGCCAGCGAGCCTTCCCTTCCGACCACCCTCCCTCCACCTACTCCGCTTAGCACTTACCACTTCTTTGCAGCGTTTTCTGTGACTATGGCTGAGTGTCTGTCTCCCCACTAGGATGTAAGCCCCAGTGTAAGGCACTTTGCTTTGTTTTGCCCCCCACTGTACCCCCAGAGCCTGGACCAGTGTTTAGTGCAAAATAAGCAACAATAAATTCTCACCAAGTGAGTGAAATCAGATCTGCAATTAATGTTTCTGTTAAAGGTATATAATTAAAAAAGACATTTCTCTAATTAGAGTCATCTGAGTAAGTCATTATTTAAAAAAGAGGTTGTTTTTCTGAATTGTGTTTATGTATATTAAGAAATGCACACACATTTTTTATTCTTATTCCTGCTACTGAAGAAATATGGTTGTAAAAGGCTAAATACTAACTTCAAACTATACTGTAGATGATTCACTATTAGAAAAGGAAATAATAGTTAAAAACCCCTTTAAAATAAACACATTTAATTATGTAGCATAATCTTTTCCATAATTCTTTAAATACACTGAGATAGATTCTAACCCTCCTGAGCATATTAAATATTGCTCATCTAGAGGTTTTAATATACCGCCTCTGCTACAAATAATATTGGAAGTGTTCCAGTCTGTTGTTATACCTAACAAAGTATATCTGCTAAACAAACTGTGTTATACGTGTAGTTATCTATAGAGAGAGAGAGCCCCAGTCTTAATATCCACAATGACTGGAGGCTCGACCAAATGCCAGGCTGCGTGAGCAGCAGGCAAGCGGGCTGAACCGCTGACTTCTTGGAGAGAGAGAAGAGGCGAGGCTGATCAGCAGTGGCAGAGGCTGCTGGCGAGGCCCAAACCTGGGCCTCGCCAGCAACCAAACCTCTCTCTCTTTCCCAGAGGTCAGCAGTTCAGCCTGCTCACCAGCAGCCTGGGGCAGGTGCTAATCAACCCTCTTCTATGATCAGGCCTGGAGATAGGCACAGGGACAGCGACTGGCATAGAAACCAACCAATCAGAACCAAATCTGTGTAAACTGCAAGGAGCCAATGATTGCCTAAGAGGCAGAACTTTTTATGCTGACTTGCTTAGAAACCAACCAATCAGAACCAATCTGGGGAAGTGCGAAGAGCCAATGGCTGCCTAGGAGGTGGAGCTTTTGATGCTGACTGGAATAGAAGCTGTCCAATCGGAACCAAATCTGGGTGAACTATGAAGGCTGAACACAGCCCACAAAGGGCTGCACCAAGACTGTCCACCTCAGGTAACTGGGAAGGCTGTGCTACTGGGCTCCGCCAGGAAACTTAGCACACAAAACTATTCCATCAAATCAGGGAAGCAGCTAAAATGCAGAGAAGAGGCAGGACACAAAGGAAGGAAATGGCAGAAAGTAAAAGAATGGACATTAAAAACCACAGTAATAAGGTTTTTCAGGAATTTCCTAGAAAAGGCCGATAAAATAAATGAGACTTTTGAGGATATGAAAAGGGATCAACTAGAAATAAAGAATACATTGTCTGAAATAAAAAATATTATACAGAGTCCTAAAAACAGACTGGAAGATCGCAAGAATCAAGTCAAAGATTTGGAACACAAAGAGCCAAAGGACACTCCTCCACAGAAGCAAGAAGACAAGAGAATCCAGAAAGTTGAAGATAGTATAAGAAACCTCTGGGACAACTTCAAGCGAACCAGCATCAGAATTATGGGGGCCCCAGAAAAGAGAGAGAGCAAGATATCAAAAGCCTATTGGAAGAAATAGTGACAGAAAACTTCCCAGACCTGGTGAAAGAATTAGACCTACGAGTCCAGGAAATGCACAGAACCCCAAACAAAAGGAATCCAAAGAGGACCACACCAAGACACATCGTAATTAAAATTCCAAGAGCAAAAGACAAAGAGAGAATATTAAAAGTAGCAAGAGAAAAGCAGATAGTGACCTATAAAGGGGCGCCCATACGATTGTCAGCTAATTTCTCAACAGAAACCGTGTAGGCCAGATGGGAATGGCAAGAAATATTCAAGGTGATGAATAGCAAGAACCTACAGCCAAAATTATTTTAACCAGTAAAGCTAGCACTCAGAATCAAAAGCCAGATAAAGAGCTTCACAAAAAAATAAAAATAAAAAAATAAAAAAGAAGAAGAAGCTAAAGGAGTTCATCATTGCCAAACCAGAATTATATGAATTGCTGAAGGGGGTTCTTTAGGAAAAGGAAGAAGTTAAAGATAAAAATTATGAACAACAAATACATAACTATCAACAAGTGAAACTAAAAACCAAGGGAATTTAAAAAATCTGATGAATAATATTAACTGGTGAATATAATAGAATCAGAGGTATGGAGGGGAGTGGACTGACGATTCTCGGGGAAAAGGGGAGTGGGGAGTGTGGGAAGAGACTGAACAAAAACTGTGCACCTATGGATGAGAACAATGGGGGGTGGGGAAAGGGCAGAGGGTGGGGTGGGAACCTGGTGGAGGGGAGCAATGGAGGGGGAAAAAAGAGGAACATTTGTAATAATCTGAACAATAAAGATTTTTTTAAAAATAAAAAAGGATGAGCTCCAGTGTGAAATCACTCAGTATAGTTCAAAAACAAAATATATCGATATAATAAAACATGTAATATAGCATATAATAAAATATAAATGTATGTTTAATTTATGATTTATATATCTAACATACATATAGAAATGTTACACATTTTATATCCTATCTAATAAAATAGTAATGTGCAAATTAACCATCACTCTGCTACACCCACCAGCCAATCAGGAGTGAGTATGCAAATTAACTTAGCCAAGGTGACTGCAGCCATGGAGTAAGCAGGAGGCTTGGCTCTGCTCAAGGCTACAAAGTTTCAATTATAGAATATAAATAAATCCCAGATACCAGGGCCTCCGCTTGGGTCACCAGGGACCTGCAAATCACCACAGGCCTGTTGCCCAAGCCACCCCACACTCCAAGGGAACTCCCACCCTTATCTGGGACACCCTTCCAGGCAAACCAGCTGGCCCCCACCCATGCACCAGGCCTCTATTCTATCAAATAAAAGAGTAATATGCAAATTGACCATCACTCCAACACACAATATGGCTGCCCTCATGTGGTCAAAGATGGCTGCCACAAGATGGCCGGCAGGAGAGAGCAGTTGGGAGGGACCAGGTCTGCAAGAGAGGGCAGTTGGGGGCAATCGAGCCTGCAGGGGAGGGCAGTTAAGGGATGACCAGGTTGGTAGAGGAGGGAAGTTGGGGGTAACCAGGCATGCAGGAAAGGGCAGTTAGGGAGGACCCGGCCTGCAGGGGAGGGGAGTTAGGGGGGTGACTAGTCTTGCAAGAGAGGGAAGTTAGGGGTTACCAAGCTTGCAGGGGAGGGAAGTTAGGGGTAAACATGCTGGTAGGGTTAGGCATCAATCAGGCTGGCAGCGGAGTGGTTAGAGGGTGATCAGGCTGGCAGGCAGAAGCAATTAGGGGAAATCAGGAAGGCAGATGTGAGAGCAGTTGGGAACCAGCAGTCCTGGATTGTGAGAGGCATGTTCGACTGCCTGATTAAATGGGCAGTCAGACATCCCTGGAGGGGTCCCAAATTGGAGAGGGTGCAGGCTAGGCTGAGGGACACACCCCTGTGCACGAATTTCGTGCACTGGGCCTCTAGTTAATATATAAATTAACTTATTGTATATAATATTTTAAACATATATTTTATAAATTTATATACATTTTTACAAAATAAAGTAAGTCCCCCATGGTAGGAAGGCCAAGACCTCTTAAGAACTAAATTGGCTAATGTTCAATAGGACTGGACAAAGAAGATATAGTACATATACACAATGGATTACTATTCACTCTAAGAAAAGATGAAATTGTACCATTTGCACCAACATGGATGGACCTTGAGAACATTATGCTAAATGAAATAAGTCAGTCAGAAAAAGCTAAGAACCATATGATTTCACTCATATGCGGGATATAAAACTGAAATTCATGAAAACAAACAGCAGTGTGGTGGTTGCCAGAAGGATGAGGGAGAAGGGAGTCCTAATATATGATGCCAGGAGAAGATTAGACTGGGGTGGTGAGTACATGGTGCAATATACTGATTTTATAGAAACCCACACCTGAAACCTATATATTGACCAATGTCACCCCAATCCTATCTAATAAAGAGGCCCTCACACCCTCACAGAAGATGGCCGCTCCCATGTGATCAAAGATGGCCAGCACAAGATGGCTGGCAGGGGAGGGTAGTTGGGGCGACGAGGTCTGCGGGGGAGGGCACTTAGGGACAATTGGGCCAGTAGGAGAGCAGTTCAGGTCAATCAGGCTGGCAGGGGAGTGGACAGGGGCAATCAGGCAGGCAGGCAGGCAAGCAGTTGGGAACCAGCAGTCCCAGGTTGTGAAAGGGATGTCCCACTGCCAGTTTAGGCCTTATACCTGTGGACATCCTCTGAAGGGTCCCGGATTGGAAAGGGTACAGGCTGGGCTGAGGGACAACCCCCCTACAGTGCATGAATTTCATGCACCAGGAGCTCTAGTACATTTAAATATTTTTTAAAAATAGAATAAAAAATTTGAATAGGGCAAACATTATCAAAATATCAGGTTTCATATTTGAATACAATATTTCCTTTTGTACTCATGTCATTTTAAATGAGGTTATGAATAAGTTCACTACAAGTAGGAGAAAATGTAAATACTAGTTTTGCCCTTTCCTGAATTATAAACATGCCACTTCTAGAAAGAGAAAGCTTTAAATCACAGATGGGCTAAATTGCATTACTTTTCTGAGAAATTATTATTCCTACCATAGAAATGAGAACTAGAAGAGGATATGACTTGCCACGACATATCAAAATAAGAATTGAAGGGGAGAGGAGGATGCTTTTTATCATTACGTCTCCAGTTCATGAAACTCACCCTGATAAATCATCTCATCTTCCTCAGTCACATAGGCGTTGGCCCCCCAAATTACCATCTTATGGATGTAAGATGGGTATTTTGCAGCTGCAATGAGGGCTGTTATACCACCATCACTCCAACCCAGCAAAGAGACCTTCTTAAACTTCAGCGTCTGTGGTCAACACAATAAAAAGAACAGCACAGATTATTGCTCCTCTCTGTCAAAAGAACCCAATAATCCATAATTAACAGAATCAATATATAATAGCTGAGGGGTTTGGAATATCAGTTAGCAATCAATGAAAAATCATTGAGTCTACTACTTGATGACATAAATGCTTTCTCTCAATTAGTTTGGTGTAAATATAATGTCATAAGTTTTGTTTTGAATTTTGAAGAAACTACTTCTATTTGGATAAAATCTCAAGGAACTGGAAACAATGGAAATCAGCTGAACTTGGACATGACCAACATGAACACTTGAGCAAAGATTTTTAAAACAGCTGTGCAGATCAGAAAGGAAAATTAGATGAAATTAAGTCATTGAATCTGGTAAAGTTCCTAATTGCAACATTGTGAAGAAGTGGCTGGAGGAAGTTTGGAAAAGTATGGTGTCATGAGGAGCTTATGTTAGTTCCAGAGTAAACCAACAGAGCTCTGAAAATGTGTTCCACAGGGAAAATGAACAGAGATGCTGACTATGACAGAAATGCTATCTAGAGCCGAAACCAGTTTGGCTCAGTTGGTAGAGCGTCAGCCTGCGGACTGAATGGTCCCGGGTTTGATTCTGGTCAAGGGCATGTACCTTGGTTGCGGGCACATCCCCAGTAGAGGGCATGCTATAGGCAGCTGATCGATGACTCTCATCAATATTTCTAACTCTCTATCTCTCTCCCTTCTTCTCTGTAAAAAATCAATAAAATATATTTTAAAAAAATAAAAGAAATGCTATCTAGAACAGAGATGCTGTCTAGAAGTAAAATTTGAATTGGGAAAATTAAGTTAAGGAATTAACAAATACCAGTCCAAGATAGTTCCTGAAAAACTGAGATTAGTACTATGGATAACAACTTGGCACTACCTTGTGAAATGAACACGTGCATTTTCTGTAACCCAGCAAGCCATCTCCTAAGTGGGTATGAGACTCTTACACATATGTACCAGGAAATAGGTCTAGGACAGTGGTCGGCAAACACATTAGTCAACAGAGCCAAATACCATCAGTACAATGATTGAAATTTCTTTTGAGTGCCAATTTTTAAAACTTATTCTAATGCCACTTCTTTAAAATAGACTTGCCCAGGCTGTGGTATTTTGTGGAAGAGCCACACGCAAGGAGACAAAGAGCCGCATCTGGCTCGCAAGCCGCAGTTTGTTGACCACGGTTCTAGGATATCCACAGGAGCGTTGTTATATAAAATAGAAAACAAACAAACAAAAACAGGACTAAGCCAAAACTGGTTTGGCTCAGTGGATAGGGCATTGGCTGTGGACTGAAAGGTCCCAGGTTCGATTCCAGTCAAGGTCATGTACCTTGGTTGCGGGCACATTTCCAGTAGGGGGTGTGCAAGAGGCAGCTAATCGATGATTCTCTCTCATCGATATTTCTAACTCTCTATCCCTCTCTCTTCCTCTCTGTTAAAAATCAATAAAAAAAAGATTAAAAAAAAACAAACAACAGGACTAAAATCACAACAGACAACAGAATGATCTCCATACTGCTGTTTATAATCACCAAAGGGCAACTTAAAAATGAAGTTATTTATCTATGATTAGTAGCACATCCACATAAGGAAATACTATGCACCTATAGTACTGATGTACCTCAGCTAAAGTGGCTCAGTTGGTTGAGCATGGTCCCGAGTACCAAAAGGTTGCTGGTTCTATTCCTAGTTTATAACTGAGTTGTGGGTTTGATCACCAGTCGGGAAGCATACCTGTCAAGGTTTCTCTCTCATATCAAAGTTTCTTTCTCTCTCCCCCATTTACACCCCCACCACCACCTCCCAGCATGTCCTTAGGTGAGGATTCTTTTTTAATGCAAAAAAATGCTGATGTAAACTTATATTTATTGACATGAAAGTCAATTTGTCTCCTTGACAAATTGAAGAAACAGTAGGTACAGTATAATGCCATCAATATAAAAAGGTCTATTTATATATGTAACTAGAGGCTGGGTGTACGGATTCATGCACCAGTGGGGTTCCTTGGCCTGGCCTGTGCTCTCTCACATTCCCGCACCCCTTGGGGGATATCTGAGAGCCAGTTTCAGCTCAATCCCTGCAGGCAATGCTGAGGGATCCCACTGGTGCATGCACCAGACCTCTGGTATGCATAAGATCTTTGTTAATCTCTTTCTGCTCCTTTTCTCCCTTCTTCCCTCTAAGATTCATCAATCTGTTCCATGTTTCCATGCCTTTGGTTCCACTCCTGTGTCAAATGTCTGCCCTCTTGTGGCCAGTATGATTCATAGCTACTGGCCGGTTGGCCAGTTGCTTAGACTTTTATATATATAGATAAAATTAGCCCAAATGGCAGAGCCTCAAAGGTTTGGTAGTGGTAGCTCTACATAGTTGGCTGTGTGATATTTCTACTTTATTCTTTATACCTATTTAAACATTTAAATTTTTCTATAGGAACCACACAGCATTACCCTTGTAGAAATAAAAACAAAAAACAAAATAAGGGACAGGTCCAGCCATTCTCCCTCTTTTTGGCTCTCCCCTAAGAGACCCACCTTCATCAAATCAACAGCATCTTTTGCATCCCTTTCAAAAAAGTCCCCTGGGAAATCTCGATCTGGGGGTCTGGAATGTCCATATCCTCGAGGATCCCAAGCAACCACTGTGAAGAGCTTCTTATTTAGGTTTTTAATCTGAGGTCCAAAATCAGTCTCTCCACTTCCTAAAAATAGCCACTTGGTTAATTCAGATGAATGCTTTCACTGTTTCAAATACATCATTATAAAAAATATATATAATAATAATTACAATCTTAAATCAAAGTAACTCGTTTCTACTCAAAATTAGACATCAGAATGTATGGAATCACCCAAGAAGTCTTGCTTGAAATGAGAATCCATTAACTGGGTGGCTGACTTCCTTTCTCTACAGAGCTCAGAACTGCCTCTTATCTCCCCCTAGTGGCTACTTTGAGAAAGACAGAGGCCCTGATTCTTCATTTGGTCCTGCGTTATTACTGAAGTCCTGCATTTCTGATATCTCTTCAGCTTAGTCTTCCTTTAAAAAAATAAATCATGATACTGCACAGAAATAGACTTACTGATATGATATGCTTATGTTATCTTTTCTTTTTAAAAAATGACTCTTACAAGTTAGAGAGATTATAATATCTGTAAACAAATTTATGGGATTTGATCCACGTTATTTAAAGGAGAATTCTAAAATCCCAGATGTTCTTTTACTAATCGAATGTGAACAGTTCTGTAGGTATTTTAGGGTTATAACTAGAAATCAGAAAATTAAATACAGAAATGATGAGGAAGGGCGGGTTGTGGAAGGAATAACTCAATTTAGTTTATTTCTTTAAAAATTTACAAAACAGCCCAGCTGCCTGTGGAGAGGGGAACTGGGTGCTGGGGACAGGAGATTTGGAGATAAAATCTCACTATTTGTCTGTCTGATTTTTGAATCAGGTTAATGTTTTACATAAACAAAGTTTTTATAACTGGATAATGATTGCAATACTGAAATAATGAAAATCTAAGCCAGTAAATTATTTATTGCTTTTATAGATCTCATTAGCCATTGGAGTAAATGCCCTTCATCATTACAATAGCTTAAGGAAAAACATATACTAATTGCTATCTAGACAAGGATGCCTCCATAGCTACAGTACCACATTCAGCTCAAGTTCAGCCAGGAGGAACCATCAACTGAAATACTTTAGGAGAAAGAAGCAAATTATTTTTTAAAAGCATAAATTGGGATTATTTAATTAAACAAAACGACCCAATACTAAGACACTTAAAACTAAATTTTAGATGTCCTAAGATCATTAGAAAATCTCCCCCTGAACTTGCTACTACATTGAAACCACCTATCTGTAAAATGAGATGGAGATTCAACTGGCTTTACAATAGTCAATTCATATTGATCTAATTTTGATTTTCAAAACATCTGTAAGCTCTGTTTTGTTCTTAGCTCTTATTTTAACTCATAGTCAACCACAAAGGGCCATCAATCCATCTTTCAGCACAGAAAGTCTCCCAAATGGAAAACCCTCAATTCCAGGCAATCTGGAATGGCTGGTCACTCCCTCATCTTCTTCCCATATCTCTTTCATTGACTCTGTCATCCTCCCAAAGTGCAGGCAACCAACTACACAGTGTACTTGCATGGGAAAAAAACAGGCATATAAAGGAATAAAAAAATACATATAGCAGAAAGTCATCTTTCTAAATCACCTAACATTTATTATAGCAAATACTACTTCAAGCATTTCTGCAAAGCACTAAACTTAATAATCAGCATTTGGCCACCACTCTTGGGAAAGCCTCATGGATCACACTGCATGCTAGAACAGTCCATGAAAACCTTGCAGACCCAACATTCCAGGAAGCAGCAGGACGGCATGCTCGCCCTCTCCGGTCCGCTGGTAATGCAGGTGGACACCGTTCACAGCCACTTTGGTGGAGGTTACTGAGGTGCTAGAATAGAAAAACCCCATCCAGAAAGAAAAAGTGTAAGTTAGCAGAGCCAATATACTATGAGAAAACTGCACTTTCATACACGGGTCAGCTTCAGTGCCCTTTTCAGGCCTCTCAGACTACTCTGATTTGTGCTACAGCTTTCCAAACCTAAAAATGACGAGTTTGTATCTTCCTCACTAGACTGCAGATCTGGGCTGGGTCTTCATGTCTGAATGTCCAGCTTGGGGCTTACCCTACAAAAGTACTAAGGGGCTTGCTCAAGTCAGTGACCAGACAGGCCCATGGGCACAAGCCCAGGGAGCTAGAAGCCAGTAGTGCCAATGTGCAGGCTGAGGGGGAAGCTCCACACACTGGAACATGCTGAGCCTCTGCGCAACACAGACCACATTCTGAACCTTAGTGGGTCCAGAGGAGCGACCTGGACCTGCAGCTGCTCTGGCAGCATTCCCAAGGATGAGACTGATCTCCAGGGTCCCCAGGGAAGGCCTGGATCTCAAGGTTGTCCTTAGGCATATGACTTCTCACATTCTTTAGCCAACTACAGAAGGGCTCTAGCTAAGAATGCTTGTCTGCACTGATATGGCCAAACTAGTTTTTATTTTATTTTATTTTTTAAATATATTTTATTGATATTTTACAGAGAGGAAGACAGAGGGATAGAGAGCCAGAAACATCGATGAGAGAGAGACATCGACCAGCCGCCTCCTGCACATATCCTACCGAGGATGTGCCCGCAACCAATATACATGCCCCTGACCGGAATCAAACCTGGGACCTTTCAGCCTACAGATCAATGCTCTAGCCAATGAGCCAAACCAGTTTCTGCCCAAACTAGTTTTAAAATGTTGAAATATTGATAGATAAATAGCTGGGTCCATAAGCTCTCATCTCAAGAGCCCACCCCCTGCTACCAACCCTCCTTGGCCCAAGTCCTCCCATGATGCAGCATCTCACTGCACATGCTTGGCACGGAGAGGGTCTCGGGCCAGGGCTACTGCCAGAATCTGTTCTGATTGTAGGATTCGTGTGCCATACCAGGGGTTCTGTTCTGGTTCCTCTCCTCAGCTGCTTGTCCAGAAGCTCTGGGACACCTATGCCAGGATGTAGGCCCCCACATCAGGTTCTAGCAGCCTCCCCCCAATTTCCCAGAAGGCTGGGTGACTTCAGGAAGGGACATTATGGTTTTCCAGGACAGATGCTGGAACAAATGTGCTGAACACAGGTAAAACAACACATAATTTCTGGAAAAATAAGACAGAATTGATTGGCAATAAAGTCTCTACAGAAATATTATGGGAAGAGCAATAATAAAGGCACTAAGCAATGGTAGTATCATATCAACATTGCCAAGTTACTTATTATTGATGTCCTATTCCTCTAATTTATTGTTATTGTCAAGATGACTCTAGGATCAAGATAAAAGCAAATAACATTGTACTAATATTCATTTCAAATATCTGTTTACTGACACATTTGCTTTGCTCACAGTCTATTAGGAGAAAAGATGAAGCCATAGAGATTTACCAGCAAACCCTCAGGGACGGGTAGGTCATGACTGAGGGAAGAAGTTGTACACAGTTGGAGCAAAGGTTATTAGCATTTCCTGTGTTTTCCACCCAGGAATGCAGAAGTTCTCAGATAAGGTGACTGGCACAGCTTGCCATAGTGATGTGTAGTTTTCTTACTCCTTGCGCCCTAAAGATTTTTAAGGGGCTTCCTTCCTTGCTTATAGAAGTAATTTTGTACACTGAGGATATTATGTACCATCAGAGAGTCCCCTCTCCCCCACCTTACTCTGTCAATGCCCAAGCTGGTACGTTTTCATGACTGGCTGCTGCTGTCTGCATCTCTCCAGGAACTCAGGAGCCAGCCCTACGGCACTGTCTCAAACAGGCTTCCCTTCCCTTCAGTGTTCATCTCTGTTATGAAAAAACCCTCTATTTTCCCTCTGCACTTTGTTCTCTGTTTTGATTCCCCATTTCAAATTTATTTTCTTTATTATTATCCCTATCCCTTATTCTTTTGGTTGCCTAGTAATACAGAAATAAAATCAGGTAGTCTAAAATGGGCATGATGGCACTTGATGTCAGATTACTAGGGCAGAGGCAGCTTTCAAGGAGAGACAGCCTGGTCAGTGTGGCTCAGTGGTTGAGCATCAACCTATGAATCAGGAGGTCATGGTTCGATTCCCAATCGAGAACACATGTCCAGGTTGTGGGCTCCATCCCGGATAGGGGACATGCAGGAGCCAGTCAATCAATGATTCTCTCTCATCATTGATGTTTCTATCTCTCTCTCCCTTCCTCTCTGAAATAAAAAATGTATTTTAAAGGAGAGGAAGAGAGATTTCATCAGAGATATTTGAAAAAGAGGAAGAAAGAAGCATTTGAAAGGAACTTCCAAGAATACAGTGGGAGGGTGATTCTAACAGAGGAAGTAGTGTGATAGAAGGCACAGGAGGAAGGACACCTGTGGGGACAGGGTAGTGTTCAGCCTGGCAGGAGCGGGGGTGGGGGGAAGAAGGGAGTAGGGGAGTTGGGGTGGAGAAGAGGGAGCATATTTCGAGGCTGAGCAGTGACATGTTTACGGTTCAGGGGAAAGGAATGGCCTATGCACTGCCATAAACATATACAATCTCTAATCTTGGGAAACAGGATAGAGGACTTCAATTTCAAACATTAGAAAAAAAGTGTTATTTTAAAAAATAATATTTATTGAGGGATTAATTTTCACATAAAAATTTAAGTGGGTACATCCTTTTTTCTCCTGTTTATCAAGGGGTCCTTAGATGGCTGCAGGCCTCAGATAAACATGGTTACACTGTGAAGCGCCACCTGCAGGGAGCAGGCGTGGAAGGGCTCTGGCATGTGCATATGTCAAAAGATAGAAAAAGAGAAAAGTTCAGAAAATGTAAAGAATTAAAGTAAATCCCTTTCCTTGGCAGTTAATTTGTTGTTTCCACTACTTTCTCCCTCCCAATGATTGCTTCTCTAACCAAGTGTTCTTAAGCAGGTGTGTTCACTAGAATTATCTGTGAAGAGGAAAATATAGCTGCTTAGGACAACCCTGGGGACCAGCAGTCAGTAACTGGAGTAGGACGTAGGCATGCACTCTCTAAAATGCCTACACCCTATTGCACCGTTCATTCATATATATCCTGAACACCTACTTTGGGCACTCCGTGTGCCCGGGAGGCTGGCATGGAAGACAGATAATGAATCCTGCAACCAGCAGGTACTATGAAGTTGGCCAAGTATTTTGACAGAAGAGTAGGGGGATACAGGAGACCCTGGGGTTGAAGGTGGCAGACACCAGGTTCCCCATGCCTTCACTATCATCTACATGGCTGCCCACTCAGCTCCTTTCTAGGAGTGTTTCCAGCCTCCCGCTATATCAATGGGGCTCAAACTTAGATTTGAATCATGTGGCAAAACTTTTAATTATTATAACTGCATTTTTAAGTATTTTTTTTCTTTTCTGGCAAACTTAAGTCTCTGGATGCCCAGGCTGCACTAAATCAATATCTCTGGGGTGGGATCCAGGCATTTGTATTTTTTTTTTTAATCCCCAAGACATTCTAATAGGTAATCCAGGTAAAGAACTACTATATTGAGTTAATTTCTTGGAGGAGAAAAAAAAAATCCTGTCTCCCTTTGAAAACGCCTGTAGAAAGGCATGCTCATCTACAAGAGCCTATGTTTTACCTTGTATTTGTCCTTGGCTCCTTTTTTTCTGGGAGGCTGGACAATTTTGTGAAAGGGAAGGTCAGGAGCCATGCAATGGCAATCAATTCCTGATTGAGGGACTGAGCCACTCCCTTCAAAGGAGAAGAGTCTACTGTGGGGGAGATCAGAATGTAAGAGTTTGGGGCAAATAACTAAATAACAGTAACATTTAGCGTCACTATTAAACTAAATAATGGACTACTAAGAGCTTATCATCTCCTTCATTTTGCGCTGTAAGGCACATTAATTATAAGTAACCACACTTGACCATTGAGGAAGCTGATGATTAGGAGGGTTAGGCAATTGCCCCGTCATCCTCTGGGAAGTCCAGATGAGCACCTGACTGTCTGATACCAGAGCCTGTGGCACTTTTTACACTTTGCTCAGAAATAAAAACGGGGACTATTAATAGGATAAATTCTCACTTTGAAAGTCCTACATAGTCTCTATATCTTGCATGTGGAGCGATTTATTTTGTGTATCTTTTTCAAAGTAACCATTGGCTACAATAAAGCTACCTCGCAGAGCATAGATTTACATGAATTTTGATGACACACTTTTTCATCTTTTATACCTGCTTTGTTATATATATATCATTGCTAACTTTACTCACTACTTAATTTTTACCTCCAAGACCTTTAACATTCACTCTCTCAAATACTCTGTACAATTCTGCAAGGCATGCAGCTCAGAGAGGTTCAGTAATCTGCTCAGGTTAATGTAGCCAGAAGTGGCACTGTAGCCATTTGAACACCAAAGGCCATGCTTCTTCTGTAACCTCATGGCTGAGGAGGGTCCCCAATAGGGCTCCAGCACTAGGGCCACTCACCCTGACTGCCAGACAGAAGGTGGTGGCAGGTTCCAGGGGAAGGAAGCTCTCTGGTTCTCCCAAGGTTCAACTCGGATTTTTTTTTTTTTTTGGGGGGGGGGGGTCAGGCAGTTAGTTAAGTTCTGTAAATTATTAATATTGCAACTGTATGTAACATAACTTCCAGATTATAAATAAGAAAAGTCAGCATTCCAAATAACAGATTTACAGACAAGTTTTCAAAACACAACTCAATTGTGGCCGGGCACTGGCTGGGACAGGGTGTTTTTGCCTACTTACTCTGGGCTGCAGCCTTGTTTCAGGATTACCGGAACCACTGTCACTGCTTATTTTCCCTGATTAAATGTCACATCAATCGCAACCACAGTTATATAATGGCAGTTCAAATTCCAGAGAAACCTGTTTTTGAGCTATATTAGGAAGAATGGTTTGAATGCTAATGAATCAGCCTTCCTGTAACCATTAAATAACCTACCATAACTTTGATATTGTTAAAATCACAGTAATTTTATTTCAATCTGGTTCTGCAAACAGGAAGCTGGATAAATCGTCATTTTACAGTGTTGGTTTACAACTATGGCCATTGACATATATTTCCATTTGCATCAAAACAATCTTGAATTCTTCTAAAAGATCTATACTAATAAAAGGGTAATATGCTAATTAGACTGGACATCCTTCCAGACAAAGCCACGGTGGCAGGGGCCTAGGCAGAGGTAGTTAGGGGGTGATCAGGCCAGCAGGGGAGCAGTTAGGGGGCAACCAGGCTGGCAGGGAAACCGTTAAGGGGCAATCAGGACAGCAGGGGGGCAATCAGAATGGCAGGGAAGCAGTTAGGGGGCAATCAAGCCAGCCAGGGGGCAGTTAGGAGGCAGCCAGGTCGGCAGGCTGGCAGTAAGGGGGTGGCCAGGCCAGCAGAGAGGCAGTTAGGGGGTGGCCAGACTAGCTGGGATGGGGTGGGGGGAGAAAGTTAGGGGGTAACCAGACCAGCAGGGGGCAGTTAGGAGGTGATCAGGCCAGCAAGCAGAAGCAGTTAAGGGTGATAAGGCAAGCAGGCAGGCAAACGGTTAGTAGCTAGTGGTCCTGGAGGGATCGTGCCTAAACCAGTAGTCAGACATCCCCTAAAGGGTCCCAGATTGGAGAGAGTGCAGGCTGGGCTGAGGGACCCTCACTTGTGCACAAATTTCATGCACTTCTCTAGTCTATAATAATAAAAAATAACCTAAACCAAATATGAAACCCCTAATCAATCACATAAAAATGTAAAACTGGTCACATTTTCTTCCTTTCTCCTTTCAAATTAAGTTTTCAAATGAGAAATTTCCACCTTAAAGTTCTCAATGCTCTCTCTAGCATTTGACTTTTCTTTCTAATCACGAATGGAATTTGCCCATCAACAGTTAACTGCGTCTACCTGGTGTGGCTCAGTGGTGAGCATGGACAGAGGTCATGGTTCAATTCCTCTTTGGGGCATATGCCCCAATGGGGGTGTGTGCAAGAGGCAGCCCATCAATGATGCTCTCTCATCATTGATATTTCTTTCTCCCTCTCCCTGCCTCTCTGAAATCAATAAAAATGTTTTTAAAAACATTTCAAACCAGTTAACTGCATACATGCATTGTGTGTGTGTGTGTGTGTGTGTGTGTGTGTGTGTGTGGAGGTATTCTTTCTGTTCTATCCACATTGTCTGCCTTGTATCTCTTAGGACTCAAGACACCATTTTTAAGACAGCAGGTCAGAGATTAATCGGGTTTTTGTTGTTAGTGATAATTTATCTTAAAATGTGTGTGGGGGGCGGTGGGGGGCGCGAGAGAAAGGCGGGCTCTCGGGTTCTCCGCAAACCCTCAGCACCTGTGGGAGCCAGGCGGGGCTCCTGCAGGAGATGAGCCAGGGAAGGCTGGGCGCTGGGACCCTGGCTCTGAGCGCTAGTAGTCGCGGGCGTCCGCAGGCAGGTTTTCGATAAAGGAAACGGCAGAGATTATTGTCCGGAAGGCCTTACGAGACTGGACAGGGCAACGGGCTCCCAGCACGGGGTTCGCGGCTGTGACCTGCCCGGCGTGCGGTGACTAACCTGCCGCTTCCTCCCGGCCCCTCGGTGCGCAGCGCCCGGCCGCGCCTCGCCCGCCCACTCCACCCCGAGGCGCGAACACATCCCGGAGCTCGCCGGGGAGCGGGCCATTACCCGAACGCCGCGGCGGGCCAGGCCAGGGGAACGTGGGGCCCCGACTTCAGAGCCGAGAGGAGGAGCCGCAGGCGGAGCGCCCCGCGGCCGCTCTGCGCCATCGCCATGGTCCCGGGTCGCGCCGGCGCCGGGAGAGCGCACGCGTGGCCCGCTTCGGGCTCCGGGCGCCGCCGCCCGCCGGGCCGCGCATGCGCCAGGCCTCAGCCCGACCCTCCACCCCCCAGTCCCAGCTCCGCGGGGACGCCGCGCTCCGCCGCACGCTGGGTAGCAATCTGGGTGCTCGCTGATCCGTGACCCACGGGACGGGCAGTCCTGCGGGCACCGGGGCACGGATCATCTTCACTTGGGATGCCAGCTCCAGCTCCAGCTCCAGCTCCGGCTCCGGAGGACACGTCCCCGTTGGATCTGCCCATTCCGCGCTCGGCGGGGTGACCTGGCGGTGCTGGTGGGCGAGCAGCCCCTGTCCAGCTCACCTAGAGGTGAGAAGGGGGTAGGCTCGGAGTTTGGCTGTCAAGGCGGGTGAAGTGCATTTGCTTCTAGAGATGATGTGATTAAAACATTTTTGTTCTTCATACCACCTCACACTCTAGAATAGCTGTGATTTTAAAACAACACAGAAATTAATGTGTTGGAGGATGTGGAGAAACCCTGTGCATTGTTGGAAATCATTGTTGGAAATATACAGTGGTGCAGTGGCTGTGAAAAATAGTAAAAAGAAAATAAAATTAGACATTGTACTACTGTTAAGGCAGTTAGATAGACATGAGCAGAGCAAGGACCATGGACCAGGTGCAGCAGGTCACCAGGGAACAAAGTTCCTGGGGCCTAGCAAGAGGCAAAACTGGGAAAACAAGAATCTGGTCCCCAAGGTAACCTTTCCTCAAACTAGCATATCCCTGGTCATGCAGTTTTCATCTGGCTGGTCAGGCAGTTTAGACAATGCCCCAGACCTCCTCCCCCAACAACCTACCCCCCACCCACGCACACCTTTCCTCTTCAGAGATGACATCAAAACCTGGCAAGTGACATCCTGGCTGCCTCAGTACAAGCTGAATTGACAAATGACCTCAGCCCTGGTGCTGACCAATCAGAGGAGATTACCCAGAAAGAGCACTCCTGGAAACTTGAAGAATATTCTATTGAGACCTTCCCCTGAGACCTTCCCCTAAGAGTCCCACCTAAAGAGAGAAATAAATACTCTCAGCACAAAGGACCCAGTGCTGGCTCTTCCCCAGGGGAGCACACCTGAGACATTCCCTTTCTCCCTCTTCCCTTTAAGGGACCCCACAAGACTCGCAACTGGGGGAGCAATGGGCAGTGGCTGTTCATCCAATCTAACCCTCTGTACCTGCCTCCAACGCCCCCTTTTCTCTGACTTCTCAGTGAGACAAAGCAGCTCAGCCCAGGCTCTCCTGTTGCTTCTTCTATGCCCTTCCTTGTTTCACTGTCCTAAGTGTGTTTTTCCTGCAGCCAATAAATTTTCCTGCACTTTGTCTCTTAATTGAAAAGTTTTATTCAAGAAGACAAGAACTGAGGTCTTGTCGTCTCACTAGTATAACACTACCATGATCAGGCAATTCCACTTTTGGGTATGTTAACAAAAAAAACACACATTGAAACCTGTAAATAATTTTTTTATGAGTTTATTTGAGCCAAAACTTTCGACACATGCCTGGAAGCAGAACCTCAACGGATTGAGATAATGCTCTGAAGAATGGCCGGTTACATTTCTCTATTTATACACTGAAATCAAAGGAGGGACATAGGTTACATGAAATTCATTGGTGATGGAGTAAGGAGGCGGAAGAAAGCAAAGCAGTGGGAAACCCCTGGGATTGGATAAAAAGTAAAATGATGGACGTGTACTCAGGTGAGTGCAGGAACAATTAACATGATAACAAAGGAATTTGAGGCATCTGTCCTGGTGCTCACCACATTTGGTTGTTCCCCAGGGGCTCCGGAAAATGGGAAGCCACAAGTTGCCCAGACATCTCACAGATATGTTATCTTAGAGGCAAAGAGGCAAATGGGCTCAGTAAAAAGATCAAAGTTGATCTTTGTCTGGGAAAATATCTGGGACATGACTACCTACTATAACCTGTTAGATATTTAATTTTCAAACCATCTTTTGTGGTTATCTTAGGTCTCTGGGTTTGCAAGACTGTCACGTAGGCCTTCCCTGAGCTTGTCAAGTTAGTATGTGGCTTTTTTCTTTCACAGGTATATACCCCAAAGAATAAAAATCAGGGTCTCAAGTTAATATTCATACATCCAATTCATAGCAGTATTATTCACAACAGCCCAAAAATGAAAATAACCCAACTGTCTATCAATGAATGAAAGCATAAATACAATGTGTATGAATATAATGGAATATTGTTTCGTCTTAAAAGGTGAATTCTGACACCTGCTACAACATGGATAAACCTTGAGGCCATGGTGCTCAGTGGAATAAGCCGGTCACAAAATGACAAATACTGGATGCTTCCATTTACATACAGATCTCCAAAGCAGACAAATTCATAGAGATAGAAAGTAGAATGGTGGTTGTCAGGGACCAGGGCAGAGGGTTAGGTAGTTTAATAGGGACAGACTTTAAGTTTTGCTAAATGAAAGAGTTATGGAGAAGGATGGTGGTGATGTTAGCACAATGTCAATGTACTTTAGGCCATTGAGTTGTACACTTGAAAATGGTTAAGATGGTAAATTTATGTCATGAGTATTTTGCCACATTATTATTTTTTTCTTCATGACCATATAACTCAAGCATTATAAAGGTTATTAACATCTGTAGATTCAGTGGAGGAAAACAACACCCATTTTCTTCTACCATTATGCCTTACTTAACTGGAAATGACTGGCAGATGCATGGCTGTTTAGTCTTGGCTTGAATTATTCAAGATGACTACAGCTCCCTTGCATATATTATTTCTTCTCCAAGAAACCCACTGACTTCTAACTGTTATAGCCATGGAAGGTTCTGTTACCTCTGCAGTCCTCACTAGCCCATTAGAATTTCTTGATCAGTAAAGGCACGTTTGGCTTAATATGGAAGATGCAAAAATATTTATATTCTACTTTCAACATAAATCTACCCCATTAAATTTCCCAAATAGAAAGGAAACATATATTTCAGCTGGATGCTGTCATTTGAATTTCTCAAATCTTTGGTAGAGCCAACATTTTATTTTTTCCTGAAATGTTTATTGGGTTTCTTGTTAGAGATGATGAGGATTAAAAATAATTGTCTGTAATTAGCACCAGTTATCCTACTTTGTAAGCAAAATGGCAGCACTGTGACATTTTAGATTATTGGGGTGGTCACAATTTAAAGTACACATTTGAGTACTAGTCCTTTATAGTGTAGTTTAAAATTATAGTATAGTTTAAAAATAACTATATTTCTGTACCAGGCACTTTATGATGCATTATCTTATTTTATTCTTCACACCAATCTTATACACTTTGCTCTCTCTATGTGTAGATGAGGAAGCTAAGGCTAAGAGAGATTAGGAAGCAGGCCCCAGATGCTTAACTAAACAGTGGCAGAGCGGGATTTGTCTCTTCAATTATAGAATACTGCATGTGAATTATTACATATTATAGAATTCACTGCAGTAGCATCACTATTCTGATCAGTTTTGCGATAGAAGTCTCTGCAATCATCCTATAAACACCTTTTTATTTTTTAAATCCTCACCCAAGGATATTTTTTCCAATAATTTCTAGAGAGAGTGGAAGGGAGGGAGGGTGGGGAGATGGAGAGAGAAACATTGACATGAGATAGACACATCAATTAGTTGCCTCCTACCTGCACCCTAGTGGGACTAGGGATCAAACCGGCAACCCAGGTATGTGTCCTTGACTGGGAATTGAACCCATGACCCTTTGGTCCACAGGTTGATGCTCTAACCACTTAACTGGCCAGGACTAAACACCTATTTTTATTTATATTAGTATTAGAAGCCCGATGCACAAAGATTCATGCAAGAAAGGGCATTCCTTTCTCTGGCTGCTGGCATCACCTTTGCTCTGGCGTGAGTCACCTTTCCGCCTTCCTATGTTGCCCAGAGGCTCAGAGCAGCTGAGGTAGTGCGGAACACTCCAGGCCACTGGGTGCCTGTGTACGCAAATTAATCTGTTGGGTTATTTTGCATACTCACTCCTGATTGGCTGGTGGGAATCATGAAGGTATGGTCAATTAGCATGCTACTCTTTTATTAGGTAAACTAGAGAACTAGGGGAGGGGAGAGAGGAGTGTCCCTAAGCCCAGCCTGCACCCTCTCCAATCTGGGACCTTTTGAGGGATGGGGTCAGGTCTAAATGGGCAATCATACATCCCTCTCACAATTCAGGACTGCTGGCTCCCAACTGCTCGCCTGCCTGCCTTCCTGATTGCCCCTGACCACTTCTGCCTGCCAGCCTGATCACCTCCTAACCACTCCCCTGCCAGCCTGATTGATGTCTAATTGCTCTCCTACCAGCCTATTTGCCTCCAACTTCCCTCCTGTGCCGGCCTGGTCACCCCAACTGCCCTACTCTGCAGGGTTGATTGCCCCCAACTGCCCTCCCTTGCAGGCCTGGTCCCTCCCAACTGCCCTCCCCTGCTGGCCATCTTGTGTCCACATGGGGGCAAGATCTTTGACCACATGGGGACAGCCATCTTGTGTGTTGGAGTGGTCAATTTGCATATTACTCTTTTATTAGATAGGATAGAGGCCTGGTGCACTGGTGGGGGCCAGCTTGTTTCCCCTGAAGGGTGTCCTAGATCGGGGTGTGGATTCCCTTGGGGTGTGGGGTGGCCTGAGCAAAGAGCCTGTGGTGGTTTGCAGGCTGGCCACGCCCCCTGGTGACCCAAGCAGAGGCCCTGGTATCTGGGATTTATTTATCTCCTACAATTGAAACTTTGTTGCCTGGAGCAGAGCCAAGTCTCCTGCTTGCTCCCTGGCGGCAGCCTTTTGTTGGAATTTATGTAACTTCTATAATTGAAACTTTGTAGCCTGGAGTGAAAGCCTGAGCCAGCCAGGGCTACAGAGCTTGGCCCTAGCTTCCTGCTCTTCCAGCTCAGGGGCTGCTGCCTGTTCTGTTGGAATTTATTTACCTTTTATAATTGAAACTTTGTAGCCTTAAGCAGAGGCCTGGGCAGGCCAGGGTGTGCGGAAAGCTTGGCTTCCTCCATCACCAGGAAAACCCAAGCCTCCTTCCTGCTCTCTGTGGCTGCAGCCCTCTTGGTTGGGGTTAATTTGCATGCTCGCTCTGATTGACTGATGGGTGTGGCTTGTGGGTATAGTGGAGTGGTTAGTTTGCATATTACTTTTATTAGATAGGATAATTAGAAAAACTGTTCCCTATACATAACACACATTAAAATGTTCAGCAAAATACTATTTAAAACATTTTGTAAGAAATAATTTTTCTTATTTTTGAAAACCTAACTTCATATTCTGGACTCAAAGCAAAGATTATGACCATAGCAACAAGTGGGCAATCTGCCAAGCAAGACTGAGCTGGTAGTGGGTCTTATTTAGGGTCTAAATATCTTTTTGGAACCAATCATGGATACTTTCTTTCTCATTTTGTAGTCTGTCTTCTCACCTGGTTTCTGCTCAGGACTGCTGTTTTTGCGGTGCTTGGGCCTCCTACCAAACTCCTCCGAAACCAATTACCGTAGACTCTTTCAGCCCAGGTTTGAGAGAGTAGGCGGAAGGAACAGCCTCTGCGCCGTGCCTGAGGGATGGCAGTGCTAGCTTTCATCCCGAGACAAAATGCTCTTTTTATCATCAGCTTTCTCTCTTCTGCCAATAACAGGTAGTGAAAGAGGATTTTGTATCGGAACAAAATGGTCAAATCCCAGTGGAGAACTACTGTAAACTGTCATTTATACAAACACATCATTTCAATGGATTACATTTAACATACAAAATCTTATTTTTAAAAAGTCAATTAAAATACTTTCCACTTTTGCCTCTTATCAATAATCACTCAATCATTGAAACCATTGGAAGCTAAAGATTTTACAACACTGTTAAAATAGAGGTACAGGGAAAGAACTCACCCAGCCCCCACTAGCAAAGCCTGGGACCCTTTCCCTTTACTTTCCTTTTGGTCTTTTGATCAATGCTGTGCAGCAACTAAATAGCAAGCCTGCAAATGTGTGGTGAGAAAACAGAGGTTCACAACTTTATCACAGGCTCTTCTCAACAGGAGTGATTTTGCCTTCCAGGGAACACCTGGCACTGTCCAGAGACATCTGTATCACAACTGAGGAGGCGAGGAGGGGAAGAACAGGGCTATTGGCATCTAGTGGGTGGAGGCCAGAGTTGTTCCCAAACATCATACAATGTACAGGACAGTCCCCTACAGCAGAGTGATCCGGACAAGATGCCAGTGGTACTGGGATGAAGAAATTCTGCTTTTTCTCCCATTATTGTGTGTGTGTGTGTGTGTGTGTGTGTGTGTGTGTGTGTAACTGCTGGGAAAGATTTAGAATCAGAACCAACAATACATATATACCCTCACCAGACACTCCAACAGCCAGACTGACTACACTGAACCAGGATAAACTAGGGAGCTATTCAACAGTGATCAGCCCTGAGGCTCCCATCAGAGCCTGCTGCCTCCTCAGGGCATACAGGTTAGGAAAGTACCTAAAGTGCCAGGATGCTAAGAAAGAACTTAAAAACTTAATCAAGAATTTTTGTAGTTGTCATAATTCATAGAAATTTCTTGCAACAACTGCCTGGGAAATTGTCATGATCTATATTTTCCCCTTCTTAGTACAACTTAAAGTCCCTTCAGTTAATTTATGGTGTGGATATTGCATGCAATTCTTGAAGCTTGTAGTGACTGATACAACATTTGATACTGATGTTAACAGACCATATAACTGGAATGAACTGTGGTAGTGATACAAAAAAAGTTATTTTTTTTTTCTGTACTTTGTTTATAATAGGAGCCTATGTGGAGAAAAGAGCAAAAAATAATAAAGTTGGTTTCGTTTACATTCTTCAAATTTTTTTAGCATAATTGGTGGTTATGGGATAAAGTGAAAGAAAATGATCCTCCTAAAATATTTCTGCTTTCTCTTTCAAAACTTATCAGACTTCTTTTTTCTTTTCTTTTTTAAATCTTCACCTGAGGATACTTTTGCATTGATTTTTAGAGAGAGTGAAAGACCGAGAGAAATACCAAGGTGAGAGAAACATATAGATTGGTTGCCTCCTGCTTGTACCCTGACCAGGGCTTGGGCAGGGGAGGATCTTGCAACCAAGGTATATGCCACCTTACTGGAATCAAACTGGGAGCCTTCAGTCTGCAGGCCGAGCCAAACCAGCCAGGGCAAGGCTCTTTTTTCATCAAGGCTCAAGCATTCAGTTTAGCGTGTTGTTTGCTGTAGGTTTCTTTTCCATTTCCAGTTATGAAATGCAGGAAATGATTTTTGTGTAGACACAGAACCCAGATCGGTGAGGCAGCCCACTCTCAGTGGCTCATTCACTATGTGAAGAGATGACTTCATGCTGCCGAAGCTGCTTCTAGTTAGTTCTGGCTGATAGACCCCAAAAAGTTCAAAAGGTCTATGCGTGAGCAATGGTAGAGCGCCCGGGCCAGCTTTCCCACCGTGGCCCCCTTACTGCCTTCCCTCATCAGCCACTTCTGGAGCATCTGGTAAACCTTCTCTTTTAATCCATCTCTCTCATAGTCGTGGTCAATTTCATCAATCTGAGATTCGGTGAAGCCCAGTTTACGGGCACAATTTTTCCAGGTCCTTCCCAGATTGTCCCTGACTGGGTCCAGGTGTGTATCAGTCAGACTAGTGGTATTATCTGCCAAAAAGAAAGGAGAAGGCATCAAGCTGAAACCCATTTGAACATTCTAGCTTCAAAACCTGTATAACGTGAAGAGCACCTGGAGTCCAGTGGAAAAGATAACTTCTTCGTTATATAGCTGTTGACTCCAGTGATACTTTACATGTCTGCTAGCCCATTAGGGAAGTTTTTGTGAATTAAAATAAGGAACTTCTTCTTCCTAGCAGATGCATCTCTGAGCTGCAGCTGATGGCTTTGGGATTAAAACCCTTGCCTGACTGTTAGGCTGCTTTAGACAATCTTAACCAGTGACCCTGTTTATACCAGATCTTCCTGATATAAATGAGAAAACACCATTTATTTCCTTCTGGGTATTTTCTACTTACATATAGCCAGAGTTAAGGTCACTCAACTCCTGAGCCCCTTCAACCAACAGTTCTCTTTCCTCTTATTTAATCAAGAAAACCGAGACCATCAAGTGCAAAACACCTACTCAAAGACAATGCCTCCCCTGTCTTTTAAGGGATGAGGCATGTATATTCTTTAAGGTCTATTTCTGGACTCCTCCCTCCCTGCCTCAACTGTTGTCCTCTCTTCTCCAATAGCCATAACCTCCCTCTTTCTACTGGTTCCTGCCTTTAGGCCTTCACAAAAATGACAAAAGGAAACAGACATAGGAAATAATCACCACAAACAAACCATACCTCTTTATCCTCATTCTACCTCAGAAAGCTGAATATAAAGAAAAAGACATCTTATTTTTGCCCCTTAACTCCCATTATTTCCTCAGCTCCCCATAATGCAGCTGTTATCACCACCACTGGACATCAGCAATCCCCAAACCTCCCAAGATATTTGACAAATTTCATCACTACCTCTCTCCAAGAGGGAACCCTGGGTTTCATCAGATTCTTAAAGACCCCCTTGTCTTTCCCAAATTTAGGAACCTAAGCTCTAAGTATTTTAAAAACTACTTAGACCAGGGATTGGCAGCCCGTGGCCTACTTCTGTAAACATTGGTTTACTGGAACACAGCCATCCACACACGTATTGTCTGTGGCTGCTACTGCCCTGCAGTGTAAATTGAGTAGTTGCAACAGAGACCTCAAGGCCAATGAAGCCTAAAACATTTACTATCTAGACCTTAATAGAAAAAAAAATGTGCCAACCCTAGGGTTAATCAGAAAACTGGGTTCTTACATCACATTGTTTAGGCCTAATGACTGTGTCTCCAGGTTGTGTTTTGGGATTAATGTTATAAGCCTGCACAGTGGGACGCTACAAGAGAAAGTCCTCATTTTTATTACAGAGGTGCTGTTAAGAGCACAGTCTCCTATTGTTTACACAATTCCTTCTGATGAAGCCCTGAAAGAGCTCTGTCCTAGGTCTGGATAATGATGTTGATGATTATCATAACCTAATCCTTTTGTAGATCTTACTATGTGCCAGGCAGTGTTCTAAGCTCTTTATACATCTTGACTCATTTAATTTTCACAACAATCCATGAATTAGCTATTGTAGTAATTTCTCCCATACTATACATAAATAAATTACAAAGACATTATATGGAAATTACACTGATATTTTACAGAGGAAATGGGACAACTTTCAGAAAGAATAACCAGATACACTTTAGGATTCCACTACAACCCTCTCAATAAGTAAGAAAGTTCAAGGTTTCTAGACAATGGGTCCTTAAAGAGCATCTTACCAAAGATATATTGGTACTTAGAAGCTGGCTCTTCCCAGTTCACATATGTGCTATCCAGTAATGGCAAGCTCACTCCAACCTCCATATGATTATTGTCTCCAATCTGAACGCCAGCACTGTTATATATGGCATATTTTGCAGTCTCATCTGAAGAGAGAAGCACACAGGTAAGCACACCTAAATCAAAGGTAAAGTGAAAAATGACACACTGTAACAGGTGTCATGACAAAGTGCAGGGCTACACTCTAAATGTTAAGTTAAACTATTTATTCTATGACACCTTGTAAGACTTTCCTTTTTAAAGTGTGGCTGAACCACACCCATTAGAATGGCTACTATCAAAAACAGAAAATAACAAGTGTTGACAAGGATGTAGAGAAATTGGAACTCTTGCATGCTAATGTGGGAATACAAAATGGTACAACCTCTGTGGTAACAGTATGGCAGTTCTTCCAAAAATTAAAAATAGAATTACCCTATGTTCCAACAATTCCTTTTCTGAGTATATAGTCCAAAGTATTGAAAGCAGAGTCCCTATGCAGCTTTATTCACAATAGCCAAAAAGTGAAAGCCACTCAGTGTCCATCAATAGATGAATGGATACACAAAACATGGTGTATACATACACTGGGATATTATTTGGCCTTAAAAATGAAGGAAATTCTGACACACATTACAACATGAATGAACCTTTAGAACATTATACTAACTGAAGATAAATACTGTACGACTGATTCCAGTTACACGAGGTACCTACAGTAATTAAATTCATAGACATAGGAAGTAGAAGGCTGGTTGCCAGGGCTGGGAGGAGAAAGGAAAATGGGGATTTGTTGTGTGATGAGTATAGAGTCTCAGTTCAGGAAGAGGAAAAGAGTTCTGGAAATGGAAGATGGTGACTGTGATTTTCATCACAAATGGTAGCCTTTGGCCTATATGAGATTAGAAATAAAAACATCTAAGTCTTATTTCTTATCTTCAGAAAATAGCAAGCAAGTAAAGAATAGAAGCAGGTCCCTTTCCTTGCACCAGAGATGGGGTATAATGGGACCATTGTGATGATTCAGGCTAGAGTGGAAGTTACAAAACCTATAAACCAACACGTGTAGGCAGCTGCATTGAATCCTACCCAAACTGAACTACCCAGGCCACGTGGTTAGATGGAGACTATTTCAAGGTGTAAGCTGCATCTGGCAGCTGAAGAATGAACAATTTGCCCTTTGTTACCTTATAGTCTACAACAGAGTTAATGGCTGTTTTATTGGACTGAAAGGCCTCTTTACCTCTTGACGTCAGGGAGATGAATGGAATGGTGGGAGTGTTTCCCAGCAGGTTGGTCTCAGGCACTGGAGTTTTATGCAGGCCTGGTATCTGGTTTGCATCTGGCCCAGACCAAATTCTAGATTCTACTGTTCCCGCGCCCAATGGTCTTGCTATAAAACGATATGGAGTGTATGGAGTCCAGGGGAGTCCTTGGGATTGGCAGGTCAATCCAGCTGGTGGGTGTACTGCAGTCCCAGGACTGGCTGTGTTGGAAGAAGCAAAGCCTCTCATCCCTGGGTTTTGAACAGTCTCATAAGGTCTTGGCTGCGCAAAAGGGTCATGGGAGACCCTTCGCCTCCTTTCCTCCTCTCTGTTGTAAGCCACACCCTGTCTGGGTTGCTGTTTTGTTTGCTTGTCCAGGCGGCTGCCAAAAAGATGGTAGTTGGCTTCCTCCTGGAGTTTGTTCTGCAGGCTGTACTCATTCTCCTCCGGTTGGTAGTCTGGGGAGGGAGCAAACCAGGATTCCTCCACAGGACCCATCCTGAGTCCCTGTGAACTGTGCAGCGAACCGGGCTGTTCTGTGGCTGAGAAGAAATGTTCAACATTGGAGAGAGTTTCATGAAACATTAAACGGTAAAATTAAATCTGAGCCCCATAATGAATCTGTCCTCAGAGTAAAATACTGAAAACACTAAGAATAAGTAAATTCTTTTATTTCTTTTTTTGATAATCCTCACCAAAGGATAGTTTCTATTGATTTCTTTTTAGAGAGAGTGGAAGGGAGAGGGAGATACAGAGAAAGATGCATCTATTGGTTGCCTCCTGCATGCACCCCAACCAGGGCCAGGAATCAAGCTTGTAACGAAGGTTCATGACCTTATCAGAATCGAAACCTGGACCCTTCAGTCCGCAGGCCAATGCTCTATCCACCGAGCCAAACGAGCTAAGGCTGGCCCTCTTCTTTATATGGAATGAGTAGGAGCCGCTGCCTGGCAGTGAGAGAGCACTAGGGAAGTTATAATAAGCAATAAGGTGTGTGTGGCAGGAATGTCCGAGAAAGAAAGGACTTGTGCAAGCAGTGAGCTGGCTGTCTCTGTGGTGTGATCCAGGGATGGGAAATAAGAGCAACAGCTCTGGCCCTGGTTAGAGTACTGGCCCATGCACTGAAGGGTCGTGGATTCTAGTCCTGGTCAAGAGCACATACCTGGTTTCAGGTTTGATCTAAAGCCCTGGTTGGGGCATGTGTGAGAGACAACTAATCAATGTGTCTCTCACATCCATGTTCCCTCTCTCTCTCTTTCTCCTTCCCTCCCTTCCACTCTAATCCATTGTACACCATAAGTGTCTGTAGATGCAAGCTGTGGACCTTCCCCACATGCCATGTGTGTCTATAAAAAATAAAAATAAACTGTTTTCCCTAAGTGGCAGTCCTGATCAACTTTTAAATTATTTTTCATGAGAACTTTCAGCTGAAAATATTTAAGAACATCCAAATTGTGAGTAATATATTTATTTTTATAATATTCATTGCAAAGTGATTTTTTAAATTAAATTTAAAATATTGTGGTGTGTGGGGATTGTTTCTGTTTTGGATGCATGGCAGTTAACTGATTAAAAATTAATGGAAAAATATCCGTGTGAGGATTAACAGCAACAAAAAAGAGCAGCTGCTCTGTGCTGTTTTCCATGGATCCTTTCGTTCTTTAAAAGCCCTATCAGAGTAGGAGTAACTATCATGATTTGATGGATGAGGTTTAAGAAGTTAAGTGCCCTAGAACAGATAGATAACAAATAGCTTCAAACTCTTCTAGTCTGCCTTCCCTTTTGTTTAAGGAAAAAGTACCCCTGCTTGACTCTAACACCAACCTCTCTGTACTCTGGGTCCAGTCATCTCTTATCTTCTCAAGGACTTGGCTCACACATGTCTCCTTTTCCCCAAGCCATCACTTTCTCCCTATCAGATATTTTAGGACTCATGTTTAGGATAGTTTATGATTTTGGTGAACTCAATGTTACTTAATATTTCAAATATATGTATCTTGGCTCTGAATCTACACTAATAAAAGAGAAACATGCAAATTAACCATCACTCGCTATACCCACCAGCCAATCAGGGGGAATATGCAAATTAGGAGGAGAAAAATGGCGGCTGCTCCAGGCATGGACACATGCTATGGGAGGGAGGGCGAGGGCAAAGGGATCTACAGGAGCGGCACTCTGGCCACAGCGAAGACAAAGACTGTAGACTCTGGCCAGAATCTGCAGCAAAGGCAGCAAACTCCAGCTACAGTGAAGGCCTGGGTCCCGGATGCTGGAGGAAAACCGATGCTGGGAGCCAAGGGAAGGAAGACCTATTGCACGAATCTCTTCGTGCAACGGGCTTCTAGTATATTATAAATTTCTTTATGACAAGTGTTAAATTATATAGCTTCTTCTGTTTTTCATATGGTTGTGAATAATATTTTAGAGAGTGAAGTGCATGTATGAGCAAACAAATAGTGGATAAATACATTTTCAACCACAGTCTAAGTTACCTGAATTTGACCTGCTTGGAGGCTCTGCTACACAATCTATTTGGAGAGACTGCATTCTCTTCACAACTTCATTTTCACTAGGATACTCTTTCTATAACACAGAGCAAAATACATATTTTAGTAAATAAAGAAAATAGTTCTAGAAAATTATTTTAAGAAGAATTAATCCTTTCAGAAGGTAGAAATTTTACATAGCTCTTATTAGCAGTAAATATTAAAAAGAATAAATCGTTTTCCCAAATAGTCAAAACAATCTTAAAAAAAAAAAAAAAAGAGGGCCAAAGCCGGTTTGGCTCAGTGGTAGAGCGTTGGTCTGCGGACTGAGGGGTCCCGGGTTTGGTTCTGGGCAAGGGCGTGTGCGTTGGTTGCAGGCACATCCCCAGTGGGGAGTGTGCAGGAGGCAGCTGGTTGATGTTTCTCTCTCATCGATGTTTCTAGCTCTCTGTCTCTCTCCCTTCCTCTCTGTAAAAAATCAATAAAATATATTAAAAAAAAAAAAAAAAAAAAAGAGGAACAGACGAAACCAGTTTGGCTCAGTGGTAGAGCATCGGTCTGCGGACTGAAAGGTCCCAGGTTCGATTCCGGTCAGGGGCATGTATGTTGGTTGCGGACACATCCCCAGTAGGGGGTGTGCAAGAGGCAACTGGTCGATGTTTCTCTCTCATCGACGTTTCTAGCTCTCTATCTCTCTCCCTTACTCTCTGTAAAAAATCAATAAAATATATTTAAAAAAAAAAAAAAGAGGAACAAAGTTGGAAGGTTCACACTTTCTGATTTCAAAAATCTCTACAAAGCTAGAGTAATCAAAACAAGTGGTATAGCTTAAGACATATAAACCAGCAATTTTCAAACTTTTTCATCTCATGGCACACATGAAATAAATACCAAATTCTGTGGCACACCCAAAAATATATTACATTTTTTGCTGATATGATTTTTAAAAAGGGTATTTTGATTCATTCATGCCAGACAGCTACTGTTGTACTGGCTGTTGTCATTTTTTTATTTCACAATATAAGGAAAGAGAGGTCAGTGTCCCTGACTAAATAGTCAGGAATTGCATATTTTAAAAATTCTTGCAATACACAGGTTGAAAATCACTGTGCTAAGTGAATATGCTAGATACAAAAACACGAATATTATGTGATCACATATCAGTGGGGTACCTAAAATAGGTCAATTCATAGAGACAGAAAGTAAAATAGAGGTTACCAGGGGCTGGGCAGATAAAAGAATGTGGAGTATAATGGGTACAGTTTCTGTTTGGGGTTTTAAAATGTGGAAATGGAAACTGCTGATGGTTGCACAACATTGTGAATGTATTTAATGCTTCTGCACTGTATACTTAAAAATGGTTATTATGAAAAAAAAATGGTTATTATGATGGCAAATCTTATGTATCTTACCACAATAAAAAAATTTATTCCTACAAAATGATAATACTCATTATAGAAAATGTAGGGATTTATATTTAAAAAGAAAGTTACACATTGTGCCTTCACTCAAAGAAAAAAAAATTAACATCATGGTATTTTCTTCAAGTCTTTTTTCTTAGTCATACTTGAATTTTGCTCCTAATAGACTACAAGCTACATAGGTAGGTGGTTAAAAATATTCATTGAATTCACTGAGTGATTTCAGGGAGACTGTTAGAGGGTGTTAATTATGTACAAAGTTTGTAGTATTTTATAGATTGCTTTTTATTTAACCAGATACGTATTTTTATGTTATTTTAATTTATAAAAGTAACTAGTGGCCCTGTGCACAAAATTCATGCACTAGGGGGGAAGGGAGGATCCCTCAGTCCAGCCTGCACCCTCTCACAGTCTGGGACCCCTCAGGGGACGTCCACCCCTGGGAATCGGGCCGAAGCCGGCAGTCAGACCTCTTGCAGTCAGGGACTTGTACACTCTGGAACCTCTCGCTCCTTACAGCCTGCATGCAGTGGAGGCGGGAGAGGCTCCAGCCACCACCACAGTGCTTGCCAGCTATGAGCTGGCTTCTGGCTGAGTGGTGCTCCCTCTATGGGAGCATACTAACCACCAGGGGGCAGCTCCTGTGTTGACCATCTACCCCCGGTAGTCAGTGTGTGTCATAGCAGTTGGTCATTCTGGTTGTTCTGCCATTTGATCAATTTGCATATTAGGGTTTTATTATATAGGATTTTCTCTTGATAGTTATGTTTTAATACACAAAATATATAAGTACACATTCCTTTTAAAAGACTCAAATTGTACACAATCACACAGAACAACACTTGAAAGTTGTTTCTTCCAAACCACACTCTTTTTCACTCCCTAGAGGTAATCCTTACTCAGAGCAGGTTGTTCATCCTTTTAATCTCTCTAGGTATTTGCATATGTATTTATAAATATATATGTATGTACATATATATGTACATATATACACAAATATACTCAAAAGGATCATACTCTATGTATATTTTGACATTTTTTCCACTAACAAGTCTTCAAGATCTTTCTGTATCATTATATGTTAGTTTCTATCTCTATTAAATGGTTATATATTTTGTAGTTTCAATGAATTATAATTTAGTATATTTACTTATGAATTATTTGGGTTGTTTCCAATTTTTTATTCTAAGAAACTAAGGTACAAGGAACTCCTAGTCCTAAATCCTTGAGCATACACGTGAGTAGGATAGATTAAAAGTAGAATTTCTGTGAAAATTATGTGCTTTTAGAAGTTTATAGATGCTTCATTTTCAATAAACTTCACCAATTCATACTCTTGTTGTTGCTCATCCTTACTTGAGGATATTTTTTCCATTGACTTTTTTTTTTTTTTTTTTTTTTTTAGAAGGAATGGAGAGAGAGACAGAGAGAGAGAGAGAGAGAGATCAACGTGAGAAAGACACATTTACTGGCTGCTCGTACATGCCCTGACAGGGGCTGGGGATCGAGCCTGCAATGGAGGTACACACCCTTGCCCAGAATCGAACCTGTGACCCTTCAGTCCATGGGCCGACACTCCAACCACTGAGCCAAAGTGGCTAGAACAACCAATTCACACTTTTAACAAATAGTGTGAGGGGATTGCTTCTTACTCTGCATTTTCACCAACAGTTGGTATTACCAATCTTTTAAAAATGTTGATCTTAGTGATGAAAAATTATAATCATTTCATTCTGCTTTTCTCTATTAATGAGGCCATGTATCTTTTTTATTGTCTATTGATGTATTCATTGGTCATATTTTATTCAGGTCCATCGCTTCTATATTAAGTGTGACTGGCCTGTAATTTTCCTTTCTTTCCTTCCTTCCTTGTATCTACTTTTTCAAGTCTGGGGAAAAAAGGATATGCTAGTCTCATAAAATGAGTCTGGGAGAGTTCTCTTCTCTATTGTCTGGACAAACTTATAAGATTAAAATAACGTATTCATTGAATATTTGATAGAAACCAAATTTGCAGATGTATTTGATTCCATAGCTATCTGGTTGTGGACTTTTCTTTATGGGAAGAATTTTTCATCACTGATTCTATCTTTTTTAATGGTCATAGGAATAGCAGGTTTTTAACTATATTTGAGTCTGTTTTGCTAAGTTATACTTTATTTCTAGAAATTTTTCCATTTTATCTAAGTTCTAAAGTTAGCAAAAAGTGGGTCAAAATATCCTCTTAATACCACATTGATGTTTACATGAGCTACAATAATGCCTCTTTACTCATTATTTCAGTCTTATTTCTATTTTCCCTGATTGGTCTTAACTAGTTGATTTTATTACCTTTTTCAAAGAACCAATGTTTAAATTTTTTGATCCTCTATTAGCTGCTTTCTTTGTCACTAATTTGTGCTTTTTTTTTTTTATCTGTTTAACAATTTTTTTTATTTTACATTAAAAAATTTTTTTTTATTGTTCAGATTATTACATTTGTTCCTCTTCCCCACCCCACACCCCCACCATAGCTCCCCCCCACCCGGTTCCATCCCACCCCATGCCCTTACCCCACACCCACACTGTCCTCATGCATAGGTGTATGATTTTCATCCAGTCTCTTCCTGTACGCTCCATACCAATTTCCCCCCAAGGATTGTCAGTCCACTCCCTTTCTATGCCCCCGATTCTATTATATTCACCAGATTATTCTGTTCATCAGATTTTTTATTCACTTTATCTTTAGATTCACCTGTTGATAGATACGTATTTGTTGTTCATAATTTTTATCTTTACCTTTTACTTCTTCCTCTTCTTCAAGAATACCTTTCAGCATTTATATAATACTGGTTTGGTGGTGATAAACTCCTTCAGCTTTTTCTTACCCGTGAAGCTCTTTATCTGACCTTCAATTCTGAATGATAACTTTGCTGGTAGAGTAACCTTGGTTGTAGATTCTTGCTATTCATCACTTTGAATATTTCTTGCCAATCCCATCTGGCCTGCATAGTTTCTGTTGAGAAATCAGCTGACAATTGTATGGGTGATCCCATGTAGGTAACTAACTCTTTTTCTCTTGCTGCTTTTAATATTCTCTCTTTGTCTTTTGTTCTTGGAATTTTAATTATGTGGCTTGGTATGGTACTCTTTGGATTTTTTTGTTTGGGGTTCTGTGTGCTTCCTGGACTTATAAGTCTATTTCTTTCACCTGTTGGGAGAAATTTTCTGTTATTATTTCTTCAAATAGATTTTCAATATCTTGCTCATAAATCAGATGTTGGTATGCTTTAAGTTGTTCCAGAGGCTCCTTACACTATCTTCATATTTTTGGATTGTTTTTTCTTTTTGCTTTTCTGGTTGGGCTTTTTGCTTCTTTGTATTTCAAATCTTTGACTTGATTCTTGCAATCCTCTAGTCCTCTCTTGGATCTCTATATATTATTCTTTATTTCAGTCAGTGTATGCTTAATTTCTAGATTTCTTTTTCATATCCTTGAGGGTCTCACCAAATTTCTCGAAGGTTTCTTGAGTAATCTTATGACAGTGGTTTTGAACTCTATATCCAGTCGTTTGCTTTCCTCCATTTCTTTCATTTGTGACCTGTTTCTTTGTCTCCACATTTTGGCTGCTTCCCTGTGTTGATAGAGTGGCTTTGTGTGCGAGGTGTCTTATAGGGCCCAGTGGCTCAGCCTCCCCAGTTACTTGAAGTGAACACTCTTGGTGCACCCCTTTGTGGGCTGTGCGCATAGTCTTGTTGTAGTTAAGCCTTGATTGTTGTTGGTATCACTGGGAGGAATTGACCTCCAGGCCAATTGGCTGTGAGGAACAGCTGTGTCTATGATGGGAGAACTTCTGTGCTGGAGACACTCTTATGAGATAAGACTTGCTTCAGTGGGGCTTTGGTGCTCACTGAGTCTGCCCCCTGAGTGTGTCCCTTATGGATCTGAGGAGTTGTAATCTGGATGGTCCTACTCTGATCCCTGGGTACACTGGCTCTTAGATCTCCAAGGAGGTGCTAATTTAGCCTTTGTCTGAAACCAACCAGCAGGAGCTACAGAGAGATCTATAGATTCCTCTTCTTTGAGTTTTCGAGATGCTCAGATGAGGCCCAGCTGTGAAGCAATGCAAGCTGCTGTGAGGCCTTGGGCCTTCTCTTGGATGTTCTGGGTCTCTGTGACTTAGCTGTAGTTTGATAGGTAAGTTTAGATTTCAAAGGAGTAGGCCATATATATGAAAAGCCTCTGTGCTCAGCTTGGATAGGGCAGAGTCTCAGGGTGGAACAAACAGCATTGGCTTCCCATAAGCCCTAAGAGGCCCCTGAGTCTCAATGTCCCTTGGTAATCGCTGCAAGGATCTCTAAGAGAAAGTTGCTCTCAAGTTCTGCCTGCTGCTAGACAGTCTGGTTTCTCCCGCTATGAGTCTGGGTTTCCAGAGTCTCACCTGGAACTAGAGTTCAGAGCTGTCGGGAGCTTGTATCTCCCTTAAGCTTGAAAAGCCAGCTACGTACTCAGTTGCCAGCCCTCTCTGTGCACATGCCTCCATCTCTCTGCATTTTACTTCTGCAGTTCCTCTGAGTCTCAGTGTGCTTTTCTCTTCCCTATGCCACCATCTTGGTTTCTCCTCCATTTTGTAGATCTATGCTCTTTTCTTTTTACTGCTTTCTATTTGCTCTATGTTTGTTTTGCTATCTTCTCTCAATGAATGCTTGGCTAATTCATTTTCAGACTTTCATATATATATATATATATATATATATATATATATATATCAATGACTATATTTTACTATTAATTACTACTTTGCAAATTCTGTACATTTTAATATGTAGCATTTTGTTAGCTACAAATATTTTCCAAATTCCATTTTTTTTTTACCCAAAGGGTATTTAAAAATTTATTTGTTAATGTTTAACCAATGGAATTTTCTAATTATCTTCTCAGATTAATTTCTAGCATAACTGAAATGCAGTCAGAGAATGCAATACTCTTTATATAATCACAATCCTTCAAACTGATTGAGACTTGTTTTATATTCCAGTACAAGGTCAATTTGTGAAAAGGTTCTGTATGTTCAGGAAAAGCCTTTAAAGATAAGAATTCTGCAGTTATTATATTAGGCACACTGTTTTATATATTTCCATTAGGTCAAATGTGTTAATTATGTTCTTCAAAGTTTCTATTGATATATCCTTATTGACAAATTTTGTTTGTTCTACAAATTATAAGGAAATTTGTATTAAGATCTCCCAACAATGATTGTGGATTTGTCTATTTCTTCTTTGAGTTTTGCCAATTTTTGCTTTCCATACTTTGAGGCCATGTTTTCATGAGCATGTACATATTTATAGCTATTATTATTAACCTCATTAATTGAAACTTTTATCATATGAACTATTACTGATTACTGTGCTAATGCTTTTCTGCCTTGGTGACTATCTTTCATGATGCCCTTTTGATGGCGTTCTTGGCTTGCAGTAGATGTCTCGCCTTTAAAGTGTGAAGTCTGGCAATTCTTAACTGTCCAAGTGTTTTTCCTTTTTTGTATTTTAAAATTGCTATTTGTCTGCCTGTTTTATTCACTGTAGTCTTTTCATGATTCCAGCAGTATATTGCTGAAAGACTATGACAGTAGCTCATTTTTGAGTGTGTATGTAGGGCAGGTCTCTGCTCCCCTTTGTTGGTTAGTTGGTACTGGTCTTTGACATCCCTCTCTGACACCAGGCTTTCAAACTTACCACTTCAGCCCAAAGCAGCTGTTGCTCTCATTGTCGCTCAGCACAAAGCAATTAGAGGAAGGAGCCAACTTGTATGACTGATACAGCTGTGGACCCCAAGTAATCTTTCTGCCACTGTCTTAGGTGCCATGCTGTTTCTTATCTATATTGACTCAAGACTTGTTTCTTTGGTTCTTTAGCATTGTGTTCTGGGTTAGCTTTGTCTTTTCTGTTACATGTTTCAGCAAATGTAATTCTGTTAGCTTTCTATCTTTAAAGACTTCCTCCAAATGACTGATCCACATAGGGTACTTCCTATTCAAAAAAAATTGTGCTTCTGTTTTCACATTGCTGTGTACAGTTTCTCTCATTTCATTGGTCTCAAAGGCAGAATGGATACAGAATGCGAAGGCCATGTTGATATCTTCATAAAATTAATAATTTTGTTTTATGTGGCTACCAAGCTAGCTTACCTCCAATCTCAGAAACACATTATATTGCTTTGGTTTTCATGACTAAAAATATATATGCTCTGATATATTAACATTTTTAGCATCCGTTCTGTTATTTACCTTTAAACTCTTCACGTCCTCTTCTACTCCTTCTTCTAAATTATGTGAATAAAAAGGCCTAAATTTTTCTTCAATGCCTAGATAAGAAAAACAGTATTTTAAATTTCTTAAATATTTTGTAAAATAAAATTGAAATGCTAGTAATCTATTATCTTTGAATGACTTACCTTATCTGTGGGAAAGCAGTAAAATAAAATGTAAATACCAAATCACTGACTTTCAGGAAAAGACTAACAAGATTAATAACTAGGGAGACAGAACAAGGCACAGTATGACACTGGAGACCAAGAACTCCTGCCTAACAGCATGTGGTTTCTCTGGCTATCGGCTCAGAGCACAAACCAGGATGGGTGCACTCTGTTTCTGCCCCTGTGGCATCAGATTTATATAGATGGAATACTCAAAATGAGGATTTGGTATAAAGAGTTACAGCTGATGGCTTTGAAAGAAAAAAGCAACTATCACTCTCTGGATGAGGGAGTGGATGTACTTTTTCTCATTTCCCTGCTAAGCACAATGGAAATGCCTAGAAATACATATAGAACAAATATAAGAAGACTCTGAGTAGAGGAGAGACAAGGACAGACCAGATAGGGATCTTGGGGTCTGAGAAAAGATATGATAATGAGTTCACTGGGTTTTTCTCTTGCCTCAAAGATTCCAAACTTACACCCGAAAAAGCTAGCAATCCAACAACAACAAAAGTCCAACCAAACCCCAATCAATAAAATACTTCCTATTCTATTCCAGAGAAATTGTGCTGCTGTTTTCATATTACTGTGTATAGTTTCTCTTACTTCATTAGTCTTGAAGGAGGAATGGTACAGAATGCCAAGTTGTTATCTGCATAAAATTGCTAAGGGGCAACTTAGCAGGACAGAAAACCTTCAGTCAATTTCCACATTGGAACCAAAATATACAGAAAAATGGTAGCTCCATCTCCATCCCTGCCAGCAAAGGCTGAGTGTGAGTGGATATGTCCAACCTCATGAGACAGGGTGCTCACCACTCCAACAAGGATGATGTCAGAGAGGTCCACATAGGAGGCTGGGACTTTCCTTTCTGCTGGATGGTAAGGAGCCCCTCCACTCCTGTGGGGTCAGTAGACTACAAGGCAGACTGGATTTGCAACCTCACCTTGCAAATAACAAAATTCCCTTTCTCTGTGCCGATGGGGAAGTGCAGATGAAGACACAATGGGGAGTTAGTACTTCCACCTCCAAGGCAGTATCCATGTGGACGCTGCAGGAACTTCCACCCCTGACCAGTCAACAAGGAGCCCCCTCTACTTCACATGTCAACAGGGCTAAGTGGGGAATCTGGTCGCCCCTCAACCTGGTACTAACAAGGTGGCAAAACCATCCCACAGACAACAACATGCCAGAGAAAGCCAGCTATAACTGGAAGCTTAAAGAAGACCCAGATCTCCTAACACATTAAGAAAGAAAAGCCCAACAAAAGTTTTATTGGGAAAATCACTCATCATACTGAGAACCAGGAAGATCTCGAGCTGAAAAACAAACAAACAAACGAAAAAAAGAACAACACAACAATCAATAGATGCCAACAGCGAGATGACAGATATTAGAAAAAAATTTTAAACTTCATTTTTATTGTTGAGGGTATTACAGATGCATCCCATTTCCTGTCCCCTTTGCCCCACTCCTCCTGGCTCCTGCCCCATCCCAGGCCTTCACTGCACTATTGTCTGAGTCCATGGGTTATGCATATATGCATGTAAGTTCTTTAATTATAATATCTTCCTCTTCCCCCCACACCCCACCGTTCCCTGTAAGATCTGGCAGTCTGTTCCATGCTTCCATGTCTCTGGATGTATTTTGTTCGTTAGTTTATTCTGTTCATTAGATTCCACATATAATTAAGATCACATGTGATATCTCTTTCTCTGACTGGCTTATATTATTTAGTTTAACATAATAATCTCCAGATCCCTTCATGCTATCTCTAAGAGTAAGAGATCCTTCTTCTTCTTCTTCCTTTTTTTTTTTTTTCTACAGCTACATAGTATACTACAGCATTTTTTACCAATCACTACTGATAGGCACTTGGACTGTTTCCAGATCTTGACTGTTGTAAATAATGCTGCTATGAATATAAAGGTGCATATATTCTTTCTGATTGATGTTTTGGGATTGTTAGAATATAGTCCTAGAAGTGGGATTGATGGATAAAACAGCAGTTCCATTTTTAATTTTGTGTGTATGTGTGTGTGTGTGTTAATCCTCACTAGAGGATATTTTTTTCCATTCATTTTTATTTTATTTAAAACTAGAGGCCCAGTGCATGAAATTTGTAATTTGTGCACAGGAGTGGGGTGTCCCTCAGCCCAACCTGCACCCTCTCCAATCTTGGACCCCTTGGGGATGTCCGACTGCCTGTTTAGGCTCGATCAATGGGATCAGGCCTAAACAGGAGTCAGACATCCCTTTCACAATCTAGGACTGCTGGCTCCCAACTACTTGCCTGCCTGCCTGCCTTCCTGACTGCCCCTAACCGCTTCTGCCTGCCAGTCTTATTACACCTTAACCACTCCCCTGCCAGCCCGATTGTCCCCAATTGCCCTCCCCTGAAACCACAGTCACCTCCAAATACCTTCCCTTGCATATTCCCTCTTTATTAGATAGGGTTGTTTAGCATATTGGACAGTCCTAACTGGTTTGGCTCAGTGGATGGAGCATTGACCTGAAGACTCAAGGGTCCCAGGTTCGATTCTGGTCAAGGCCATGTACCTTGGTGGGGACACATATCCAGTGGGGAATGTGCAGGAGGCAGCTGATCAATGTTTCTCTCTCATAGATGTTTCTAGCTCTCTATCCCTTTCCCTTCCTCTCTGTAAAAAAATCAATAAAATATATATTTTTAAAAAGAAACATTTAAAATTCCTCCATATCTGCCTGGCTGGTGTGACTCAATGGTTGAGACTCCAGGCTGCCAGCACTGGAAGAGGATCGCACCCTGGCCAGGTTGAGACCCCAGCCCTGGTTGCCACCGTGGCCAGGGGATTCTACAGCTTGGTTGCAAGGCCCTGCTGGCCTGAGATTCTAGCCCATGCTGCCGCTGCGGTCAGGGAATCGCATGGCTTTGGTGCGGGGCCCTGCTGGCCTAAAACCCCAGCCCTGGCTGCCACCGCTGGTCAGGAGCACACTGGGTGCTGACGCCTCAAGGCAGACACCCCAGGCTGCTGCCACTGGGCAGGGATCGCTGCGTGGGGGTCAGATGCCTCCCAGCTAGACACCCTGGACTGCCACTGCTGGGCAGACTTTGGGACTCCGGCAGGGCTAAGAGGACTGGGCCCCTCTATTTGTGGCTATGGGAGTCGTCATTTTTGTCATGGAGTGATGGTCAATTTGCATATTACTCTTTTATTAGATAGGATGCCCGTTCTAATAAGAATAATATGCAAATTGACCATCACTCCAACACACGAGATGGCCACCCCCATGTGGTCAAAGATGGCTGCTCCCATGTGGACACAAGATGGCTGCCACAAGATGGCCAGTAGGAAAGGGCAGTTTGGAGGAATGAGACCTACAAGGGAGGGTGGTTGGGGCAAACAGGCCAGCAGGGAGGGCAGTTAGGGGTGACTGGGCTAGCAGAGGAGGGCAGTTGGGATGGACCAGGCCTGCAGGAGAAGGTAGTTGAGGGGAACCAGGCCTGCAGGGGAGGGCAGTTGGGGGGAACCAGGCCTGCAGGGGAGGGCAATTGGGGGGGACTAGGCCACCAAGGGAGGGCAGTTAGGGGTGACCATGCTGGCAAGGGAGGATAGTTAGGGGTTACCAGGCCAGCAGGGGAGGGCAGTTAGAGGTGACTGGGCCAGCAGGGAAGGGCAGTTGGAGGAAACCAGGCCTGCAGGGGAGGTTAGTTAGGAGTGAGCAGGCTGGCAGGGGAGGGCAGTTATGGGCAATAGGGCCAGCAGGTGAGCAGTTAGGTGTGAATCAGGCTGGCAGGGGAGTGTTTAGGAGGTGATCAGGCTGGTAGAAGCAGTTAGGGGCAATCAGGCAGGCAGGCAAGTCAGCAGTTGGAAGCCAGCAGTCCTGGATTATGTATGAGAGGGCAGTCGGACATCCCTCGAGGGGTCCCAGATTGGAGAGGATGCAGGCTGGGCTGAGAGACACTTCCCCCTGCACGAATTTCATGCACCAGGCCTCTAGAGTGTGTGTGTGTGTGTGTGTGTGTGTGTGTGTGTGTGTGTGTGTGTGTGTAATTTCAGAGAGGGAAAGGGAGAGGAAGAAGAAGTGGAACATCAGTGATGAGAGAGAATCACTGATTGGCAACCTCCTACATGCTTCCCACTGGGAATCAAGCTCAGAAAGGAAATCAAACTATGTGTGTCATAGGTGAATGCTCAATCACCAAGCTACACTAGCCAACTTCCTACTGATTTTTAGAAAGCATGTAAAGGAGGAAGGAAAGGGAATAGGGAGCGACAAAAGAAGGTACAGAAGGGAAAAGAGAAGGAGGGAAGGAGGGAAATAAGTGAGATGCAACTAATTGGGGCCAGTGATTGAACCTGCCCTTGCCTGGGAATGAAACCCATGACAATTTGGTGCATGGACTGACAATCTAACCACTGAGAAACATGGGCTAGGCCCATTTATTATTATTTCAATATTGCTTCACAATGGTCGCAGCAGTCTACATTCCCACCAGCAGTGTTAGTTCTCCTTTGTCCACATTCTCACCAGCACTTAATATTTGTTGATTTATTAATGGTAGCCATTCTGGCAGGTGTGAAATGATACCTCATAATAGTTTTAATTTTAATATCTCTGATGATTAGTGGCATTGAATTTTTTTTATATGTTTCTTAGCCATCTCTATGCCCTCTTTGGAGAAGTGTCTAGTCAGGTATTTTGCCCATTTTTAAATTTGACTGTTTGATTTCATTTTGTTGAATTCTATGAGTTTTTTTTTTTTAATTTAACCCCTTATCACATGTATCATTGGCAAATATGTTCTCCCAAACATTGTGCTCCCTTTTAATTTTTAGGATGATTTCTTTTGCTGTACAAAATCTTTTTATTTTGATGTGGTCTCATTTGTTTATTTTTTTCCTTTGCTTCACTTGCCCTAGGCCCGTGGTCGGCAAACTGCAGCTCACGAGCCACATGCAGCTCTTTGGCCCCTTGAGTTTGGCTTTTCCACAAAATGCCACAGCCTTGGTGAGTCTATTTTGAAGAAGTGGCATTAGAAGAAGTTTAAGTTTAAAAAATTTGGCTCTCAAAAGAAATTTTGATATTTGGCTCTGTTGACTAATGAGTTTGCTGACCAATGCCCTAGGCCATGTATGTGCAAAAATTCTGCTGACACATCTGAAATTTTATTGCCTATGGTTTCTTCTAGGATTTTTATGGTTTTATTACTTACATTTAAGTAATAAATTTAAGTAATCCATTTTGAGTTTATTTTATCCATTTTAAGTTTATTCTTGTGTATGGTATAAGTTGGCGATTTAGTTTCATTTTTTTGCATGTACTAGTATCTGTTCAATTTTCCCATTGTATGTTTACTCCATTGTATGTTCTTGCCTCTTTTGTCAAACATTAATTGAGTGTAATGGCATGGGTAGATTTCTGAGGTCTCTGTTCTATTCCATTGATCTATGTGCCTGTTCTTACACCAATACCAGGCTGTTTTGACTACAATGGCTTTGTAGAATAACTTGAAACCTGGTATTGTGATCCTTCCATCTTCCTTCTTCTTTCTCAAAGTTACTGTGGCTATTCAAAATATTCTTTGGTTCCATATATATTTTTGGAATATTTGTTCTAGACCTGTGAAATATACCATTGACAGTTGATTAGGGATTGTGTTGAACCTATAGATTGCTCTGGATAGTATGGACATTTAAATTATATTAATTCTTACAATCCATGAACACAGTATATGCTTCTACTTGTTTGTATCTTCCTCTATTTCTTTTTTCAATGTCCTATAATTTTCTGAGAACAGGTTTTTACCTCCGTGGTTAAGTTTATTCCTGGGTATCTTTTTTTTATTTTTTTCTCCCAATGGTAAATGGGATTATTTTTTAGTTTCTCTTCCTGAGAGTTCATTTTGGGTCTATAAAATGCCACTGATTTCCAGATGTTAATTTGTATTCCTCTACTTTTTCAAATTAATTTATTAAAACCAGCAGTTTTTTGATGGTCTTAGTGTTTTCTATGTACACTATCATATAATCTGCAAATAATGAGTTTTACTTTCTCCTTTCCAATTTGATTGCCTTTTCTTCTTCTTCTTCTTATCTGACCACTGTGGCTAGGACTTCCAGGACTGTGTCGAGTAAGAGTGGTGAAAGCGGAAATCCTTGTCTTATACCTATTCTTAAGGGAAACGCTTTTAGTTTTTGCCCATTTAGTACAATGTTGGCTGTAGTTTAGTCTTGTATGGCTTTTATTATGTTGAGGTATGATCACTCTATTCCCCCTTTACTGAGAGTTGTTATCAAAAAAGGGTGCTGGAGTCCTAGCTGGTTAAGCCCAGTGTGTCGGCCTGTGGACTGAAAGGTCCTGGGTTCAAGGGCATATGCCCGGGTTTCAGGCTTAAACCCCAATAGTGGGTGTGCAGGAGACAGCTGATCAATGATTTTCTCTTATCATTATGCTTCTATCTCTCTCTCTGAAATCAATAAAAATAAGTGTAAGTAAGTAAATAAGTAAATAAACAAACAAATAAATAAATAAATGGTGTTGGATTTTTGTCAAATGCTTTTTCTGTACCTATTGATATGGTCATGTGGTTTTGTCTTTTACTTTGTTTATGTGATGTATTCATGTTTATTGACTTGCGAATATTGTACCAGCCTTGCATCCCTGATCATGGTGTATGATCTTTTTAATGTATTGCTAGGTCCAATTTGCTAATATTTTATTAAGGATTTTAGCATTCTGTTCATCAGGGATATTGGCATATATATATATATATATATATATATATATATATATATATATTTATTGTAATTTCTTTATCTGGCTTTGGAATTAGGATAATGCTGGCCTCATAAATAAAAGCTTCAAAGTCTTCCCACTGCTTGAATTTTTTTGAATAGTGTGAGGGAGATATTAGTTCTACTTTGAGAAATGCAAATTTAAACCACAATGAGAGATTACATCACACCTACTAGAATAAGTAAAATAAAAATATGACAATACTAGTAAATGTGGACAAAGATGGAGAGAAACTAGATCACTCACACATTGCTGATGGGAATATATAAAATAGTAGAACTACTCTATAAAACAGTTTGGCAGTATCTTAAAACCAACCAAACAACTAAACATGAAACTACCACCAACCTAGCTATTTCACTGCTGGGTATTTATTCCAGAGAAATAAAGACTTCTATTCACAGAAAACCCAGTAACATGAATATTTACAGTAGCTTCAGTTCTAATAGCCCCAAACTGGGAACAAACTAGATGTTCTTCAAGGAGTGAATAAACCAACTTTGGTACAACCATACCATAGAATAGTACTCAACAATAAAAAGCAATGAATGACTGATACACACACCTGGAGAATTATACTGAGTGGCAAAAAGCCAATCCCACAGATTACCAAAAGGTATTTTATGATTCCATTTATGTAACATCCATGAAATAACAAAATTATAGAAATGGAGAACAGTTTTGTGGTTTCCAGAGGAGAGGGAGGAGTGGGATTAGGGAGAGAGGTGAGTGTAACTATAAAAAGGACAACCTGAGGTACTCTGGTGGCAATGGAAATGTTCTGTATCTGACTGTACCATTTACATATCCCAGCTGTAACACAGTACTATAGTTTGGCCAGATGTATCATTGGGGGAAACTATGTAAAAGGAACATGGGCTGTCTCTCTGTCTCAGCTGCTGCATATAAATCTACAATTAATACAAAATAAGAACTTCAATTTTTAAAAAGTGAAAAAGGCATGAAAGAAAAGAAATCAAGCTTGGAGAAGATTTAGGCTGACTGAGCAAGTAAGAAAATAGGCACTAAATCAAAGGACCCTTCTAATCCTCTGGTAGTAAGTGGTAGGTGGGACTTCATTTCTGTTTTGTCAGAGCAGAAACAGGAGGGCAAAATGCTTTAAAGGCTCCTAAGTGATTTCCTACTATTTATTTTTTCTTCACCCAATTTTCTTCTTTCCTCTGCCTCTAGGATCGTAGCGAGATCCTTAGTATCACAGAGGAATGGGACAAACGCATGTGAGTGATATTCACTGTAAGCATATGGGAGTCCATTTGTTTATGGATTGTACTTTTAGTGTCAAGTCTAAATGGATAAACAAATGAATGGATAAACAAAATGTGGCATGTGTATACAATGAATACCACTCAACAATAAAAAGAAAACTGACACTTGCCACAACATGGATGAACCTTAGGACATTATTTTCAGTGAAATAAACCAGTCACAAAAGAAGAAATACTGTGTGATTCCTCTTATAATGAGGAACCCAAAGTAGTCAAATTCATAGACTGAAAGTAGAATGGTAATTGTCAAGGGCTGGGGTAGGGGAATTAGTGTTTAATGGAGACAGAGTTTCAATTTGGGAAAATGTAAAGTTCTGTGGATGGATGGGAGTGATGGTTGCACAACATTGTGAATGTACTTAATGCCACTGAACTGTATATTTAAAAATGGTTAAAATGCTGACTAATGTGATATATGTATTTTAACACAATTTATAAAAAGTTAATTATGAACCAAATTAAATTTTTGGAGGGATAGCATCTTGAAGAAAAATGTCTGAAATCTAGAAAATCAGTTTGAAATCACAAGTGGAACTCAGTTTTTTGAAGACTCAAAGTAACTTTCTGACAAAATCTTACTGGGGAAATCTCCACATAGGTGACTGTACACAGTCCTAAGAGACGCCCTTACCAGGAAATGTTGGCCGCAATTCCGGGTCCGCCTTCCAGCACTGCATCATGAGGCTGATAATCTCCTTTGGGCAGTACTCAATAATGTCGTCCACACATGGCCTATTCCCAGATTTAATACATAAGACCATCTGCTCCTCACAGATGGCATCTGTAAAGCAAATAGGAGCTTCCATTTAGACTTTCTTTTAGGTCACATTTTCTCGGGCATAGAGGTGACAGAACTTGGACCACACCACTAATCTTTCTCTGCCTGGGACATGCTTTTAGTAAAGCTGTTCGTCTGACGAAGGCAGAAGGACCCTGTGGCAAGGAGCCACACAACATTTTAATTTCTGCAGATAAAAGACACAATTCACAAGAAAGCTACCTCCTGGTAGAACAAGTAGAATATTAATGAGTGACTTAAAAGGTAGAGTGATAATTGCTACTCAAAAAGTAAATACAAGGTTCTGAGAACTCAACCTTCACCAGATGGTCAGAGAAGGCTTTGTGGAGTTCAGAAAAATAAGGAGTTATCCACGTAAGAAATGGGGAAGGAGGACTCAGAGAGGATGACTATGGGCTAGGGAAGTAGGATATAAATAAATTGGAGGTTTCATAAATTATGATGTATCCCAGAAATTATGAGTATTTCAGTATAATTGAGCATACTGCCTAAGGGGAAAAAAAAAAAAAGAGTAAAACTAGAGAAAGAAGCAAAAGCCAAATCAGAAAGGATCTACCGTGTTTCCCCGAAAATAAAGACATCCTCCGAAAATAAGACCTACTTACAGGTTTCCTTCTGAGTGAAATATAAGGCATCCCCCCGAAAATAAGCCCCCCCCCCCAGGCTAACCATGAGAGATTTGGTCCACTGATTCTGAAAGAAATGGAGTCATAAGGAATTCACCAGGAAATTCAGGAATTGGATTGTTACGATGATGTTCCAGAAGATGATGACATGATTGTCACTGAGTAAATGAGTAAATTCTTGATACTGTAGGATTCACAGTTTCTGGTTTGTGTTGACAACTACCGTACTACCGTACCATATACAGGTAATAAATTTCCTTTATTTTCATTTAACACTAAATGTGTACCGTATTCTTCTTCATGGAAAAATAAGACATCCCCTGAAAATAAGACCTAGCGCATCTTTGGGAGCAAAAGTTAATATAAGACACTGTCTTATTTTCAGGAAAACAGAGTAGTATTGCATACTGAGGAATTTGAACTTTATCTTTATGGCCCCAGCGAGTCTTGTAAAAATTTTCTTTTAAACTGATGAGTGAGATGATCATATATTCTTTTGGGACGACCAATTGGGCTGCAGTGAGGATAGTGGATGCATACAAGGAGCCTACTGCAGAAATGGAAAGGGTTTGACTAAATAGAGTTCAGTAGTGATAGAAAGAAGTGGGTGGATTGAAGGTGTATCTTGAATCATATATATACTTTGACTTTGTAAGTTTGGATGTCTGATTGTATGTGGGAGATGAGGTACAAGGCTGAATGACTAAGGTTTCTAGTTTGGTAATTCAGCAGATGGGTGATGATGCCATCGCTGAACATAACAAGAGCTGCAAAGCTGAGTGGGCTACAGGAGAGCAGGTAGATGACTTTGGGGGAAGGTTGCTTTGAGGTCCCTCTGGTACATGAAATAGTTCTAACTAGAGATAAGAGATTTGAGAGACATGGGCAAAGAGGTGATCATTGAATCATTGGAACTCATAATCACCCAAAGAAGAATGGGTAGGAAAATGTCTATTAGTTTAGGCACTTAACACACTGAAGAATGACTACTTATGTATCTGTTCTACATGAACCATGTCTGTCTCATCTTTATAGTCTCAATTCTGGTCAAAGTGCCCATAGAGTTCTGAAATGAAATAACTCTTGAATGAAGGAGTGAATAGGGGCAAGTCATCCGACATGCATGCCTTCTAGGACAAAAGGGTAAGTCCTCACACGCAGAAGCCAGCAAGCTTTATGGTCAAGGAAGAATCCTGGAATTTCCCAGTACCTCCTGAGCTTAGATGCATTATCATGGCTCCTGTTTGTCCTGTGGCCCTTGGTTCCTAAACTGAGATTATTCATTCAGTCAATCATTGAGCACCTACTATGTTTCTGACACTGTGTGTGCAGATACTTGGGAAATGGGAGAGGATAAATCAGATGTGGTCCCAGCCTCTGCAGACTTTAAAGTCTAACGGGTAAGATAAACATTAAATGAACAAACCATTATAAATTTTAATTGACTTCACTGAAGGCCATTATCTCATTTAATGATTTTGATGAATACCCAAATCCCACTCCTGTATAAATGTCTTACTTTCATATGGCTCCTTGTTTGCAAATATTGCCCACAATACTATGGCAAAGCTGTACACGTCCGACTTCTCTGAGGGCCTGGCGTTGATGTCATTCAGGTGCTCAGGCGCCATGTAGTAGAGGGTGCCACCGTTTTTCTTAGAGAGACTGTCCGCTTTCCTCTGCTCATTGTGTTCCTCTTTAGTCAACTTACTCCACGTCTTAAAGGACGCAACGCCAAGGTCAGCTATCTGCAAGTGATCAAACCAACAGGATTGTTCTATGAAAATGACAAGCAGATCAGCTTTGTCTTGAAATTTGGGACTCATCCAATAGATTGGAGGTACAGTGAACTTTCCAGAAATGGCTGCAGGGGGTAGTGTTAAAATAGCTACTTCTGAACAGACTCAGAAACTTTGTATTTCTCAGTCATTTAGAAAACCTCCCCTAAGAAATGTCCATGTGAAGTTCTGGTATCTCAATTCTTATGTAATTGGAAAAAAACAGGAAATCTGCTAGAGCAGGTGGTGAGAGGGGAGGAAAGGAGGTGAAACGGGAGACATTTTTGACATGAACGGCAAAACACACTTGTCCTAACTTTTCATATGTTTTTCAATTATTTCTGGAGGAAAAGCATTAATTTCTTCTGAGCATGCTTATATAGCAGACAGTGATGAAGAACTGCACCTTCTATTTTCCAAAACGGTATCCAAAAGCCCATGGATGCTAGTCTCCAAGGATCCCAAAGACGCTGAGGACAGGGCTGTGCTGCTAGGGTTTTGAGTTGGTAGCCTTAACTGAATCTAAGAGAAGATGGGAGATGAAGGGAGAGAAATACTGACAAAAAGCAAAGAGAAAAACACCAACATCAGACACCACAAAAACAGAGAGAAGTGGCAGTGCAAAACGACAGAATAATACAGTGACCATGAATTCAAAGGTGACAGTTTCACTTCTGCCTCTAGGAATCCAGCATCTGCAGAAGAATTCTGGCATGTGGTTATGTAAAACCCACAGATTCTAACATAACAGATATAATAAAGAAGGGCCAAAACCAGTTTGGCTCAGTGGATAGAGCATCACCTGCGGACTGAAAGGTCCCAGGTTCGATTCCGGTCAAGGGCATGTACCTTGGTTGCGGGCACATCCCCAGTTGAGGGTGTGCAGGAGGCAGCTGATAGATGTTTCTCTCTCATTGATGTTTCTAGCTTTCTGTCCCTCCCTCTTCCTCTCTGTGAAAAACAAACAAACAAACAAACAAAAAACCAAATAAATATATATATATATATATATATATATATATATATATATATATAGAACATTCCTCTTAAGACAGGAATAAGAACTCATCGAAGACGAAGATGAAATGTTAGAAGAATCTTCTAGCAAAGAGGAACACCTGTGAAAGCTGTTCCACAGTCCTTACCCCTGGGCCGCTTCCCCTTTCAGATTTTTGCACTTGGATCCCTGCTGCCAGAACCCGTTAGCTATGATGACCCCATCTACTTAAATATAGAGTGATCGACAACAAAATCCCTTTCTTGTTTCCTTTTCTGTGATTAAAAGAGTTGGGAGTTTTCAAAAGGAAACATAAACATTGCAGATGAAAGTACACTAATCCATAAAAAATATAAACTCCATCAAGTCTGTGTCTTTCTTTTCAGTCCTTGGCACCACCGGCCCCATGAGAAACTGAGGCAGGTCTTCCTTTAGAGTCACCATGTACAAACATGGATTTACAGTGAAAAGTTACAACGAAAATCACCCAAGCTTCTACAGCCTTTGGATTACGGTTTACCTTAATGTGAAAGTTGTCATCAACCAGGATATTTTCAGGCTTTAGGTCCTTGTGTATTACACCTTCTCCATGTAAATAGCACATTCCTTCAATGGTCTCCATAATTATCCTTCCTTTTACAGAAAGGGGGATGCTGATCTAAAACAAGTAACATTAAGTGTATGAAATGGAAAGCAATCAAACACGCCAAAGCAACTGCTTCACTCAGGACTACTGGGGGCTGCACGTGAGGACAGTTACCTGCCTTCTCTCTGCTCTGCAGCATGGCGGACATTGCGAAACAGGCCCCCTTTTGAAGAAAGAGTTCGCATCAGGTGCTGAGGGTATTAAAGGTGTGTTTTGCAGTGTAAAACTAAAACTTCCATGACAATATGCTAATAGCTAAAAATGATATACAATTATGCTCCTTAAGAATAAAACATTATTATTGTTGTTGTTGTTGTTTAGGATGTATGCTTATTATCTAACATCCTGGAATGTTTGGTGAATGAACAAATAAATAGACAAAAAACAAACATTCTCTATGGTATATTAATATGATGTTCTACTATGTATTAAATACATGAAAACTGTCATGGAAATGTGTGCATGAAATAATATTAAAAGAAAAATATAAGGGAATGTGCTTACACTGATTAGAAATGTGGAAAGGTTAATCAATGAGATAATATAAGGTCCTTAATGCTGAAATGAATGTAATATCTACTTTGTGACTTTATCAGGCACTTCAGGTTTTGTAGAATCTCGGGTCATTCTTACAACTGTATTCTAATTACATGAACATCTATGTTAATATAGAGAATTCCAGTTTTTACTTAGAATAGTTAAACATTAGATTTGCTTAACATTGTGAAACAAACAGGCTGCTTCCTAAAAATGTATGTGCCTGTTGGTTGTTGGTAAACAGGAAACATTTGAAATGCTAGAAGTTAGACTCCCAAGCAAAGTCCCCAAACCATATCTGCCCCATACCGCAGCTGAGCTGCAGTATTTACAGCCTGATCACCACCATACAAAATGGCCAGAGATCCTCCCTTCTTCCATGGTGTACTCTGCAGTTAGGAAAAAATTCTGAGCAAGCACTGTAGATCTCCTTCACATCCCTCTTTCAGTTTCTCTCCCTCCGTCCTCCTGACCTTCTTGTTGAGCCTGTTAGTGCTTCCTTCATGCACCTGATCTTATCTAGTTTTGGAGAGAAGAGCAATTTGATCAAATGATAATACAATGTGTACAAGTAATTATCTTGTATCTTTCCCACAGGAATTGTGAAAGATATCTGTGACTTAGAAGAATTGGCAAGCTTCGGCAGCTGTGAAGCCAGGGGAGAAAATGGAAAAGTGGAAGATATTTGCCATAGAGACAATCATATCCCACCACCTCCACAGGCAATCTATGCTTTGCCAAACCTAGTTATTTGCAGTTTCCCAAATTTGGCATACTCTCGTTCCTTGGCACATGCCATTCTCTCTGCCTGGAACACTTAGCCCTAATTCTCTGTTTCAAAACCTCTACTTGTCCGTCAGATTTTGGCTCAAGCGTCCTTCTGGAATCCTTTCCTACCTGCCCCATTCTAGAGTGCGTTTCTCTCCTCCGTGTTCCCATAGCGCACATGAAGTGGTCTATCCAAACATCACACACTATTTGCTCCTTTACTAGTCTATGTCTTATTTGCTCCTGCTTCCTGAGCAATTAGCACAAGGCCTTCCTCTTAACAGATACATAAACTTTTAAAAGTGCTTTAGACTTACTTGGTTTTGGTAAACTTGTTATTTTCCTGTTTTAAGTCTTACTTCTCCAGGGTTGTTGCCTCTAATGCTGTACATTTAAGCTGTACATTTCTTAAACGGTATCAATGTGCAATCATTAATACTCCTTCTCATAAGGGCCTTCATAGAATACATCCTTTAATCAATCAGTTAATGTGTGATTGTTATCCATGGTGCATATGCCCCTCATCACACCCTGTGCTTCAGGCAGACAGGGCCTGTCTCTGAATTGTGGATCTCAGAGTGGCTGACAGCAGGGACCCAGACCACTGTCTGCAGGGAGGAGAGAAGGGCCTGGCCACCCTCTGGGCGGGGAGAGTCACGGAGGATTTAATGAGGGATTGACTGGAAAATCCAAAATATCTAGCAATTTGCGAGAGGATTGATTTTCACCAACACCTACAAAAGAATGTGAAGCATAATCCCCTCAGACAAGCGCGCAGTGAGGGCTCTGTGGGGGGAGACGTACCGCGGCCTGCAGCACGTGCATCAGGTTGCCCTTCTTCATGTACTCCATCACCAGGGAGTAGTTCCCCTCCTCCAGGATGACGCCCAGCAGCTTCACCACCCGCACGTGGCGCAGCCTGTGCATCATCCTGCCCTCCTCAAGGAGGGACTCGTTGTACCTGTGGGAGAGAAGGGTACTGTGAGGATGGGCAGTTAGCTCCTCTTCCCTTTGTGCCCCATGTCCCCGGCCCATGTCTCCCGGGCATCCTGGTGCCATGCTTTTGTCACTACTTGCTGTACTGGCCTCTGCCAGGCACTGACTACAAGCTGAGGAAGGCAGAGTGGTTTTTCCTTCCCAGCGGCTGGCAGCGAGCCCTTAAGAAATGTCATACTGCTGAACAACAGGAGAACAGTAACGTGAAAAGCGGCAACAACACACGGTCCGAGAAAAGGACGGTGCTGGACAGTGTAAGGAAAATGCAGCCTCTCTCATAACCACTGTGGCAAGAAGGGGAAGTAAAACAGCACTACCAACTTTTAAACAGAGTTCCTGGAACCGCTAAGTAATGAACCACTTTCTTTTCTTGTCCATATTTAGGGCTAATCCTTTCCAAACATGTGGAGCAAGTCTATTTTCACTGATCTCTCCCATTTCCTTTTCATCACCTTCCTCATCACCCTGATCTCCTTCCCTTTCTCTGCTTTAAAAAATACATTTTTTATTGATTTGAGAGATGAAGGGAGGGAGGGAGAGAGAAACATCAATGATGAGAGAGAATCGTTGATCAGCTGCCTCCTGGGGATCGAGCCCATAACCCAGGCAAGTACCCTGACTGGGAATCGAACTGTGATCTCCTGGGCTTTGTCTACTTTCTTCCCTTCATTTCTCGTTACCAGTTGTAACCTTCTCATCAACCAGCCTCAAAATCCTTGTCAGCTATACAGGGACAGTAACCACCTCATAGGGTTGTTGGACATGAGTCCGAGTGCTGACACTTATACCATGGTCTGTCTCATTCTAAAGCCAGTGCCAGTCTTCCCCCTCGCAGCCCTGAACCTCCACAGCCTCCAACCCCTGGGGCCAGCCCACAGTGGGTTCACCTGCCCCACTCCCCGCTCACTCTGTTCGCGTAGGCCCTGTGTACACCTTCTTCAGTATGACGAGCCCATGAGATCTGTGTAAACACAAGGACACCTTCCCGAAGCCACCGCTGTCTAGATGCTCCGCATCCAGAAAGTCACTGGATTTCATCTTAATGTCATCCAAAGACATGTCTGGTTTCCTTCCGATGCGCAGAATGCTCAAAAACACACCAGGCTTTTCTTAGCCTCAGAGCTGTGCCCTGTAAAGAAAACAAGAAACCATCTCAGTGCAGAAAACTCATTATACTAAAACCACGTGTTTGATGGGCCTCGATTTTTTGAGGATAGACTTACAAAGAACGTTTCCCCATATTTCTAAGAATCACAGAAGACCACAACTTTGATTCCTTAGACTTTCATTGCTGGCAACATACAGGACTACAAAAGTTTGAAAACCCCCCTGCTACAAAGGACTCATATATGTTGGGTAACGCAATACAAACACATATTCCCATGCACAGTTAGGTCAGCAGGAAGGAAAACCCCAGGGACTGAACACAAACAGGGCACTACTGGCCCTAAGCCGTGACCCACACAGTAGCTGCTGTGGACTGAATGTTTGGGCCACCCCCAAATTCACACATTGAAATCCAATAAATAGTATTAGAAGGTGGGGTATTAGGAAGGTAATTTGGTCAGAAAGGTGGAGATTAGTTTCCTTATAAAAGAAATGAGGGAGCCGGGACCGGTTTGGCTCAATGGATAGAGCATCGGCTTGGGAACTGAAGGGCCCCGGGTTCGATTCCGGTCAAGGGCATGTACCTTGGTTGCGGGCATATACCCCATATGGGGTGTGCAAGAGGCAGCTGATCGATGACTCTCTCTCGTTGATGTTTCTAACTCTCAATCTCTCTCCCTTCCTCTCTGTACAAAAATCAATAAAGTATATTTAAAAAAAAAAAAAAGAAATGAGGGAGTTTTCTTTCTCTCCATCACGTGAGGACACAAGAAGATGGCCAGTAAAGGAGCCCTCGGCCACACATGGGTTTGCTGGCACCTTGATAGTGGACTTCTCAGCCCCTAAAACTGTGAAAAATAAATGTCCTTTAAGATCCCCAGTCTGAAATCTTTTTTAGCAACAAACTAAGACAGTGACCCTCTGGGCACAACTGACTCGCTACCCAGAAGCCTGGGACCAAAGCCCAGATGGGACAAGAGCTGAGGTCAGGAAATGCAAGAAGAGGGTTGAAAGAAAGATCCCCCTTAATACGGCACTCCTTGGTGTGCCCCCTTACTCTTCCCTGAAAGGATGGACTAGAAAAAAGCAGTCCATTAGCAAAGGAACTCCTCTTAGACTTGGCCTATGTATAAAAAATGTCTGTGTGAATTCATAACCTTGGGCCTGACCTCAAATAGACTTGAGCTTTGAATGTAGGCCAGGATTCTTATAGCCATGATTCCTGAAACCAAGAACTTGATCATAGACTGATGGCATCCCTGGATTTTAATGCTAAAGCAAACACAACACATCCAGCCAGGCCAGTCAAGATTCCCAGAAATAAAGAACTAAGTTAACGTGAGCTCTTTTTCCAAAATTAAAAAAAACAAATAAAAAGTTCATCATGAACCAGACTCAGCCAAATATTAGGCATTATGGATAATTAAATTTCCGAATAGCTCTAAGGTAATCCTATCTAATAAAAGAGTGATATGCAAATTAACCATCACTCTGTTACACCCATCAGTCATGCCCACCAGCCAATCAGGAGTGAGTATGCAAATTAACACAACCAAAATGGCTGCAGCCACAGAGAGCAAGAGAGAGGTCTGGGTTTCCCGGCAATGGAGGAAGCCAAGCTTTCTGCACACCCTGGCCAGCCCAGGCCTCCACTCCAGACTACAAAATTTCAATTATAGAAGATAAATAAATCCCAACAAAAATGGCAGCAACCACTAAGTTGGAAAGAGCAGGCAATTAAGTTGCCCCAGGCAATGGAGGAAGCCAAGTTTCCTGGCCTCTGCTCAAGGCTACCAAGTTTCAATTATAGAAGATACCAGGGCCTCCACTTGGGTCACCGGGGTGTGTGGCCGGCCTACAAACCACTACAGGCCCCTCACCCAGGCCACCCCATGCCCTAAGCCCTAGGGTTTAAGGGAACCCCCACCCTGATCCGGGACACCCTTCAGGGCAAACAAGCTAGCCCCCTTCCGTGCACCAGGCCTCTATCTAATAAAAGAGTAATATGCAAATTGACCATCACTCCAACACACAAGATTGCTGCTCCCATGTGGTCAAAGATGGCTGCCCCCATTTAGACACAAGATGGCCAGCAGGGGAGTAATATGCAGATTGACCATCACTCTAACACATAAGATCTTGCCCCCATGTGGACACAAGATGGCCACCACAAGATGGCCAGCAGGGGAGGGACCAGGCCTATAAGGGAGGGCAGTTGAGGGCAATCAAGCCTGCAGGGGAGGGTAGTTAGGGTTGACCAGGCTGGCAGAGGAGGGAAGTTGGGGGCAAACAGGCTGGCAGAGGAGCAGTTAGATACCAATCAGACTGGCATGATAGTGGTTAGGAGGTGATCAGTCTGGCAGGCAGAAGTGATTGGGGCAATCAGGAAGGCAGGCAGATGACCTGTCTTAGGGGGGTATTTTACCCTGCTCTTCCATTACAAACCCTTTAGGTAAGTCTTCTCCTGGCTACATGCTACATGCTACTCACCCCTAAGGTCTCAGCCTTTATCATAACCTCAGGGAAAGTAGGCTAAGTCTTCTCATTAGACATTACCACAGAACCCTGTATTTCTCCCTTGAAACAGTTAAGACAGCTATAATTTGAGATTTCTAAGAAACCTCACAGACGGCAGGAAACACTTGCTCACTGTCTCTAGTGCCTAGCACAGAAACTGATATGTGGCAGTTGATCACTGAATGGACAATTTTTAAAAAAAGAATTCTTTAATTGTCGTAAAAAAAACAAAACAAAACGGTACAGTTAAGTGAGTTATGGAACATTCATAAAATGGAATATTATTTAGCCATTCAAAATTGTAGACTGTAAGTTAGATATACATATGTAATGAAAGACACCAAAATGTTAGCAAGGCATATATTTGGATGGCAGGATGTTTACTTTCTTCTTTACACTTTTATTAGATTTCACCAATTTTCTACAATAAACACAAACTACATTTATAATGACAATTAATTTTTAAAGGAAATAATTCCTTCACTCAAAAGTTCTTTATTCTGAGGAATCAAATCAGAGTTGCTGATAAAAATTATGTACATACAAGGATGTTCCCAGTAACCTTATAGAGAACAAAAACATATAGAGCAATTTACATATACAGAGGAAAGAATATTATGGGCCGAAACCAGTTTGGCTCAGCGGTAGAGTGTTGGTCTGCGGATTGAAAGGTCCCAGGTTCGATTCCGGTCAAGGGCATGTACGTTGGTTGCGGGCACATCCCTGGTAGGGGGTGTGCAAGAGACAGCTGGTCGATGTTTCTCTCTCATTGATATTTCCAGCTCTCTATCTCTCTCCCTTCCTCTCTGTAAGAAAAATCAATAAAATATATTTTAAAAAATTTAATAAATAGCTGAAGCCGGTTTGGCTCAGTGGACAGAGTGTCTGTCTGCGGACTGAAGGGTCCCAGGTTCGGTTCCGGTCAAGGGCATGTATCTTGGTTGCGGGCGCATCCCCAGTAGAGGACGTGCAAGAGGCAGCTGATTGATGACTCTCTCTCATTGATATTTCTAGCTCTCTACCTCTCTCTCTTCCTCTCAATAAAAAAATCAATAAAATATATTAAAATAATAATAATAATAATAATAATAATAATAATAATAATGTTATGGCCCATCTATACTCTGAAATACATTTAGCAGGCTTCAAAAATGATGTTATATGTAAATATTTTAAAACATTTAAGAAAAACTCAGATTAAAGAAACATGTCCTGAAATATGCCTATTGGGGTATAAAACTTCAGTTTTATGAGTTCTATTTGGGATCTCTCCTTCAGCTCAAGTCTTACCTCCCCAAATCTGCCAACACAACTAAGACTTGAAGTGTCTCTGGGAGCAGGATGCTCAGTGGAAGGCCTCCAGGTGAGTCCACATCACTCTGTGAGGGTGGTTCCCGTCCCAAGTCAATTCTCCTTATAGTCTGGCCTTTTGATGGTTTAATCTAATCTTATGAATTTTTCCATTGTTTCCAATGATTTCTAATTTTTACTCTTTACTCCCCTTTCTTCCATTAATAATTCAACTTTATAAGCACTGAGTATCGTAGGAAGGCCCTGTCAGTGGTTTACATACCCATGAGTCATAGAAACACTGCCTGTAGGCAAGTATAAACCATCTTATAAAGCTACGTCACACAACAATTAAGGAAAGCACATTGACCTGTTATGTCATGTTATGACAATTAATTTCAACTAATTGTGTCCATTGTAGTGGGATAAGTGGGTATTAATTCAGAGACTCAGAGAAGCAAATGTTTTCCACTGACCAATTTATTATATAGGATTAAAAATTCCAAGAAATTTCATTTATTATCTATGAGGCAGTTGAGTCTGTATATTAAAGTATCCAAACCTATATTCAATTAATGTTTGTCAATTATACCTCAATAAAACCAGGGAAAAACAAAAATGAATAATAAATAATTAATGCCCCAAACAGGCAGAATTAATTTATGCTATTAATAGTCAAAGTAGTGGTTAATATTAGGTGGGATATGGGAGATAGTGAATGAGAAGGGAGTTTCAGGAGTGATAGCAATGTTCTATTTCTTAATTTGAGTAATGTTCACTTTGTGATACCACATACAACTATACAGTTATGATCTGTGCATCTTTTTGTACGTTATCCTACTTTATAAAAGGGTAATATGCAAATTGACCATCACTCCATCACAAAGATGTCTGCACCCACAGCTGAGGCCAAGTTCTCATAAGGAGCCTTAATGAGAAATCAGCAGGTACCTGAGGCTAGTCCTCCCCGACCCCTGTGGTGCTGACAAGGGACCTCAGGCTGCCTCTTCCCCACCCCTGGGGGTTTGACAGAAGACCTCAAGGTGTGCTTTGTGTCCTGGTGCTGGCTAGGGCACCTCAGGCTGCCCCCCCCACCCCAGCGGCAGGCCGGGGGATCTCAGGCCGTGCCCCCCACCAGGCAGGGC